ACTAGTTATTAGTATCGATTTCAATATCATATAAAGTTTTATTTTCTAACGGTTTGTATTATAAACCGTTAGAAAATAAAACGTACAATTAGATAAAATTCAGTGCACACGTGCCGCCGTTAATAATAATATATTTCATATTATACCTATACACACTTACATCATATATTAGGAAAAACCTATTTATAATATTTCACAAATTACAATAACAAATATATCTAATACAACAAATTTCACTTTTTCCGCCATTACGCCTTTTCTTTCCGTGGACCCTCTAATACCTTATTGCGGACCCCTAGGGATCCGCAGACCCCCGGTTGAGAAACGCTGGTATAGAATATTGGTAAATATTTTTACAAAAATACAGAATATTATATTTGAGTTTATACATGTTGAACATACTTTTATAATATTTGAATATTAGTTATTAAGTTTTTTGGTAATTAGATTGGACAGTATTTAAAAGCAACTCCTTTATTTCTTTTAAATGACAGATTTCTATTACATTTTTATCAAGACAATATGATGATATCATTTTAAAGATAGATTTTTCTAAAATTCATAATGGACTCATACACAACTAAATTTGCTATAATAATTTATCATGATAAATATATCTGATATATTTTGATACATATTTGTCTATAAGAATCATGGGATATGGCATTAACAATTAATCAAAGTATCCGGCGTGAAGTCACATTATCATACGAGTTATGGAGAAAGAATTTTTAGAACTTGTATGGTTCAATTGAATCAAATATACAGTGGTTAATACATTATTAATTTAAAATAAGAACTAAATTAAATTATTTAATTATGAAAACCATACGGAATATAGTATTATTTAGATATAATTTTAAAGTTGACTAATTAATATAACTACTAACTGTACAATTTTTGGAGGTTTATTGACGAAAAATATTTCCTAATATAAATGTAATAACTATTAAATGTATGTAATCCCTTTTCTGTAATGTGCGAACAAAAGCAAATTAAAAAATAAAAATAAATAAATATAAAAATTATTAAATAGTTTTATTATTATGGCATTATTGCTCAAAGGATCAGGTCACTTACTGTAAATATGTCACTAGTGTATCTATAATAAATTAGCTAAGACAAACCCTGGACTTCAAATCAGTGTTTTGAACTTGCGTCGTAAACGACAAACTAAGAAAATTAAAAACAAACATTTTAAAATACGCCCTTCTACTTTCAATAGAAAACAATTATATTTATTTACCATCTTACAATATAAAGCCTACAAATAATAAACAATTTTTTTATTTTTATAACAGTTGAATAATCATACGAGAAGGTCACTCTAATGTTATATTTCAATAAAAGCCATATTCGTAGATAAATTCATAATGTCGTGAGTTTTTTAAAAAAAATATCAAGTATGAACTTGAAATATATTTATTAAAATACTCATGTAGTGGTTTTGTTATACTAAATATAATCACCTTGAACATTAGATATTAAAAGTATGCTTATTTTGTAAAATGTACGAATAAAAATACAATTATTGTTCCGAAACTTAAAAACATACTTTATTATATTACATAACTTCACTAAACTACCAGAGCATTAAGAACTAACTAAATAAAAAATAAATGTCATATAAACAATTTGTTCAACGTTATACAATGATACATACTTATATAGAAAATCATTATATTGATTTTTAATCTTAAAATATACTTAAAAGTTTGAAACCCATTGGTGCAATAATCATTATTAGATTTTAATTTATTATTAATTATATACATAAAGATAGATACTTACACCATTTTGTATGGTAAAAAATTTTGCAGTGTACGCATACTTAGTTGACTGAAGTCTAAAATAAAAGTTAATATGAAAAGAAACTATTCGTTTTTTACTAGATAATATCGTTTCATTTGGGACTAGCTGTACGCAAGCAATTGGATACGACAATATAACGAATATGTATTTCTTTTAACCAATTTATCATCATATGGTTGGTGGATAATATAAAATTTGAACTGAAAATGATTTACTAAAAAATTGTAGTGAATATAATAAAGAAAAATTTGAATTAGACAATAAGTCGGTCATTCCGAGATTTGTGCATAAATGTTTACTGGTAAGGCTCAGTACTAATACATTAAAGATATAGTTGATAGTACTACACATAAGCACAAAGTACAAAGTTAATCAGTACGCTACTCGACTTTATACTTTTTAAGAATATGTTAGTTCTGGGCAGTAACGTATATCTTTAAAAATACAACAGGTGCTCATTTAAAGAACTAGTACCTAACCATGATATTTGTTTTGGTACCCAAAATGTGCTTCTTATATCATAATCATACGCACACAGTTATTCTAATAATTTAATCAATTATTGACATCAAAATGAAATTATGTACTATGTAGATGGTATGTAAGTACCTACAGATAATAGCATATTTTCAACTGTTAATATGCGTACTTAGTTAATCTATTATATATTTTTTTTATTTTTTATTTTTATTTTTTATTTTTTTTAATAAGTTTAATACATTACACCACATTTCATAGTTTATTAGAAACCAAGGTTCTTATGAGTTTTTACCGGAATTCATCGGTTACAACTCACCAACCCCATTTTTGAAGAGGGCTTGAGCACCTTTTTGTGGTAGATACTAAATAGCCGCGACTGGTTCTCGGCAACGTTATAATCAGTCGTTACTTACTCATCTCCGAATCGTTACAAATTTGCAATGGTATACAGTATAAATACGTGTTTACTGTACGCATTGACCAACGAGCATCGCTAAATTTACTTACTTTGACTGCATGTACCACAACGATTAAATGTTTATATTGCAATAACATAATTGAGTTATAATTTCGTATATATTTTAAAATTATTCCGTGTGCTTTTATATCTTGAACTGACATACAATTTATAATTCGGTTAGAACAGGAACCATAGATACCATATACCACAACAAATAAAATGTTCGTCGTAGACACGTTGGAGTATCCAGTAGGACTGCTATAATCGTTTTGGTGTCAGCGTAAACATTTTAAGGAGCTTCCTGGACCATTATTATTCCATAAAAACTAAACCAGTCGGTACAGTACAAGAAAATCAATTAATTTTATAAAAACTTATGTTTAATAGCAGAATTATAAAAAAATTACAATTGTCTTTTTGTATATCTAAAAAGTATTCTAAATGTTTAAAATAATCATATCTATAAAGTGAAAATTAAACACACAACGTAGGTACTTAAGGATAATATGATAATACATATATAACTAAAAAGCGATATACTTAGCTGGAACCTGTAGGTTGGGTAAGATTAATATAGATGGATTCAACAAATAAAGATGAAATCAATCTACCCTATTTTGGTTTCTAAAAGCAATTTTAAGCGAAGGAGGATGGGTGGATTAGCCTCTAATTATGTCTAGAAATATCTACCTAGTTTACAAATCATTAAAGCTACATAATATTTTTGTAATTTTTAGACAACAAATCAAATAATATTAATTAATCAAAATTCGTATAAATAATCGGATAATTTGTCGAATTTTGTCAAAATTTAACATTCTAATCATTGTAAAATTTTTGCGATTTTCCGGTAATTTTTTTGTTTTTTGCTATGAAAAATATCATGAAAAGTGCTTTGTAGGTATTCAATGTTTCCCTCAAAATATTTTTACATAATCTACCACAATGACTTGAATAATCAATATGGGTGCAAGTTTCCCCTATAATTCCTGATCAAACACTGCTATGCACTTTAAGATGAAATGTTATTTTGTAGAAGCTTTATTCTTGTATTAAAGGTTATCTTAGCACACAACTGATCTCTGAATAGCCAAACTTTCAAATTTACCTGATATGTGTAATAACTTTGATCTTGAGTAATTTGCATCTATATCGGTTAGTCAAGTCACTGTGATGGATTATATAAAAATATTTAAAGAAAATTTCACATTTGTTGGTACTTAAACTAAAACTATAACCAAATTGAAATTATATAACAGGCAAAGTATACTCAACTCTACCCCTTCCACAAGAAAAAGTCCTCTGAACAAGATCATAGTTTTATACTTAATTGTCGCTCTTGCTTAAAGTTGCATGCTACTATAGATAAATATTCAGTATGTCTTAAACCCAATAATAAATTTAACTTACAACATATAATGTGTTTTTAAGAAGAGTCCACGATCAAGAGATACATATTGAGCCACTGAATAGTCATACTCTATAAATAAAATAAAAATATTTTTCTTATTTTCAATAATATAATAAATTTATTAAAATATTAAAACTATGATTATTAAATAAGTTATTTACACTTTAATTTAGTTTATAATAAGACTTCAGTAAATAAAAGTGACTTGGTTCAAATTCTAATAAATTTAATAACAAATTTATAAATATTGACACATTTACATTATAAAATTTAATTAACTACCTGTAATTTTGTCACATCAATATATTAAAATAAAAAGTATAATATAATTTAATAACTTTATAACCAATAATTACAAATAATAAATATTCTATATTTAATATTCTTGACAATAATCTCAAGAACAATTTTAAGATTGGTGTATTTTTTTAAATTTTTTTTTTTGTAAATATATAGTAACAAATTTAAAGTTACAAAATATTGTACATAATGAGATCAGTATAAAAATTAAACTATATTTAAATCCATATATTATTTGATTTTTGAATTAAAAAAAAATCTAACTGTGGTTAAATACAATGAAGAAAATAATTGTTTGTGCGCCTAAAACACTTGATTTTACATATAAAGATTAAATAAACAAATATTTAAATAATAATATAAATAATAATAAATAATATAATATCAAAATTTTTTTCTTAGAAATTAAATTAATAGAATGGTATAGTAAAGTGGTAAGTAAAATATTAATTTTATTATCGCATAATTATTAACATATTTTATATTATATTTAATGCATTTAATTATTTTCTATTATGTATAAAAAATAATATATACAATTTAATAAATAATTATTGCTATGAACTCACTACTCTCAATACAAACTTTTCTTATAGAGATATTAACTAGTAGAATAAATATTAAACGGGAATATTAATAATGTATGTATAAAAAAAATAAAATTATAAATAAAATAATAAAATAAAATAAATAGTTAAGGCTGTGGCGCCTTGGGTTAGGTTAGTTTGTAGTAATTTATATAATAAAAAAAGTATGGATTCAATTATTTTACAAGAAATAATTTCATAACAATTAAAATAGTAGAAAGTTACTAGAAAGGAATATAGAGGCTATGATCATTGAATTGTAACCAAATGACATAAATGATTGATTTCGATTACAAGATAAACTATTCATTAAAAATAATAAGGTTTTAGAAATTATTGAAGTTCATTAATAGATTAAGATCAATTTTATTCCATATGCTTAAAGTATTTATATTTTACATACAAAAGTCACCAAATTACAAAATTATTATATTATTAACACTAATGAGCTTTTTTTAATGAGCCAGATAACAAAAAGGAAACATAACTATGAACCTATAAATAATTGCTTGGCAGTGTTCATTAATAGCTATGTTGATGTACAATAGTAATAAAATAGTCTGCAAACAAATGATGTAAAATTTCAGGTGTAACTGCAATAAACATATATAAGCCTAAATTCAATATAATAAAATAATTAATATGATTTAATTAAAATTACAATAATTTTTTACTTTATCTAAAACGCATAGTGTATAGGTGAACCATTTTCGGAGTATGATTTTGCACTTATATTATCAAAATTGTTTCTCATAAGAAGATTGTATGAAGAAAACTTAGCATTCTCTTCCCAAAAATATGGAATATAAAATGGTCTGAATAAATATGATGTTCTGAAACAATAATAAAACTTAATTTAAATACCTATTAAATAATACTATATATATTTTAAGAATGGGAAATAATTAAATATATTAAACTATATAACTTTCTTTATTCTCCTCACCTACAAGTAATACAAAGAAGTAAATACTTTTTCCAAATTGCTATTATTATTATATATACTATATAGAGCTTAAGAATCGGCCAGAAATTAGATTTATTAGCATTTATAGAAAATTATTTTTCATTTAAATATCAAAAATTAAAGTTAATAATATTTTAATAATTTAATATATACAAAGTAGGCTCAATTTTTAGACACTTAATTTAAAATTAATATATTTTTATTTAATCACTTGATTAAATATGTAATGACTTGAATAGAACAATTAAAAGCTAAGATTTCATACGTAAACAACAATTACTATTATAACAATATTTATCATGATAATTGAATATCTTATTACCATATATATAAGTACTATCATTACATAATTATGATAAAAAAAAATTCTTACTTTTGGCTATCAAGAAAAGGTACAGACTTCCAGATACTCCATTGTAAATTATTTTCAGAATAATTGGGTTCTAATTCTGAACTTTGGTTGTTGTTCAAGTCTATTAAGAAATGACACAGTCTTATATCACTCTGAAATTATAATTAAATCTTTAAGTTTGTTAAATATTTAAAATAAGAAATTAGCTCATTTTGAGCTATTAAAAGCATTATAATTTATTAAATAAAGTACAAATAATATAAAGTAAAATGTTTTAAATGTAAAATATATATGATCTGAACCCATCCCTTAATTATAATAATCAATGTTATTCAAGATTTTAGATAGAAAGATTTAAAGAAGAAATTTTAGAAGAAATATTTAAATACATTTAACCATATTAATTTTTAATTTTAAAACTTTTTATAAATTATGATATAAAACAAAGTTTAGTTCCAATAAATAAAAATGTATTTTAGTTTAAAAAATATTTAGAAATAAAAAAAATATGACCAATATTATACATTACATTCAATCAATTATATTTTAAAAACACGGTAACTATTCTATGCTCCTTGAATATTTTATATACACTTACATATTTATCTAGTTCTTCTTTATTCTGATTATTAAAATTTTCAACAACTGTAGACAAAGACTCTGGACTAAATCTACCTGGTAAAAGTCCTCGAAATTCAGATCTTATAAAATGCATTTTCCATCTATATAAGAATAAAAATAATAAAAAATAAGAATAAGAATTATAATAATCATTAAACAAATATATAAATATGAAAATGTAAAAACAAATAAAATATTAATAAGCAATATTAAAAAAGACTTTTTTTTATACCTATCATCTGGTAGAAAAAATGATGAGGGGTATCTATACCATTCTTTACCAACACACACATTTATTACATTTGATTCAGGTAGTGTAAGGTGTTCATTACTCAATTGTGTATATATATCAATAGGTGCATGATACGCTAAACAAATAAAAATTGTGTACATTAAAATCAAGTTAAAAAAAACCAACAAACAAAAATGTATTTTTATTTTTGTAACGATTTAATGATACAATATAAAATCTAGATACTAACCTTTAATTAAAAGAATACTTCGTGACAACGCCAATAAAAAAAATACAGAGAGACAGGGTATTGTTGCAATATTTACAGATTTGTTATACAAACGTATTAATTTACTACGTATGGCTATGCTGGGATGAAATTCCATATCTTTTAAGTACTCTAAAGCTATGGAAGCTGCCATTTGTATCAATGGATAAATAGGAAAAAGAAATCTTTCCTCCTAAAAAATAAAAACATTATTATACAAATATTTTAAGTGTAATTATTAATTTTTAATAATTTGATATAAATATAAGATTAATCTTTTCCAGAATTTTTGTAAAAAAAAGTAAATATCTATTGAGCTATTGGTGAATAAAAAATAGTTCACCTTATGTGGTTGCATTTCAAACACAAGAATCCATAAGTACAATGGTGTTAAATATATAAACCAAGTAGTATTGTTGTTAATATCGCTATGATTGGAAAATCTGATTCCAATTTTGGTATACATCTATAAAAAAATATAATAAAATAATATATGTTTTTTTATAATTAATAGATGAAATACTCGATTGATTACTTAAACTTTATATTTATAATGTGATTATCACTACAATTACCAAAGTGTCAAGATTTGCTCTAATTTGAAAAATAATATAAATAATTAAGACATGGCATGGGGCAGTAGTTAGATAAAATTACTAATTCAGTTTTAGTTTAATATTTCAGTCAAGTTCCATTACTATTTCCTGAACGAGTGATCATCTAGGTTTTCAGGAACATCATGCTTTTATAAATAAAGCCATGAATTCCATCAAAATAATTATAATACTATTCAATACACATATTTTTACAACCAGTTAACTATGCATCCCCAAGTTATTTAAATTTGAAGGGTAAATTATTAATTTTAAATAACATTAAGAATAACATAAATATAAAAATAAATAAAATAATAAAAAATAGTAGTATAATAATTATAAAATATATGAATATTAAATTAAATTCAAAACTGATCAAAATTATCTAAATTAAAAAAAATTAAATAATAAATTTTTTATTTTATTTTTATAGTATATGTATTAAGACTAATACTAAATTAATGAAAAACATACCTTTCTTGCAATTAAAATGACAGGAGCCACAAATGAAATAATAAATACAATATTAAAATTCAGGAAACCATTGAGAAAATAAAAATAATTATCTTCAATACCATATAAATCAGGACCATGGCTTGTAAATATATTATAAAAAACTATATTGTATGGAGCTATTACAAATTTTCCATAAAAATATGAATCTATGGCAACTTGATAAACCTATAATACAATATAATTAATTACTATTACATCTCTAATCCTAAAACTAATATAAACTTACTAAAATAGTCCCCAATGATATTAAACACCATTTAATGAATAACACATACTTCTTGTTTGCAAAAATTATATCCACTGCTAACGGTACTCTGAAATTAAATTAAAATTAATAAACCAAATTTAGTTCATTCTCTTTATTTTGTTTTTATCTTTTAACAAAGTAATATAAATAAATGTTAACTTTTATTCACTGTTATATCACATGGATAGTCATTTATTATCAGTAATTATAAAAAATAAAATACTTAAATAAATATTTTTGTATACAATTAATTGAATGTATACTATCATGTACATTAACATATAAGGATAACTTACCCAATCAGACATGAAAATGGCCAACTTAAAAATGTTGACAGTGCAGTTGAAAATATTGCCAATTCAAAATTTTCATTCAACCAAGCACCAATAATTAAAAATGTCATATACCTAAAGCCAAAATAAATTATTTTTTAACATTTTGGTAAATGAAAAAAGATCTAAATATTTTCTTACATAGAAAAACTAGAAGGTAAAAATGCAGTAGATGCAATGAACATTCCAGGACTGAAAACCGTGATGAATAAATACAATTTGCTTACAGTAGGAGAAATTTTTTTAGTTATAGCTCTAAAAGCAAGAAGAATAAATAGGTATATATTAAAATGATTAATTTGACTGCATTAGTGTAAAATATTTAATAATATGTTACTTATAAAAATAGAGTTCACATAGAGAACACAATAGTGCAAGCACACATCGTATCAAGTAAAATAACATGATTTTTCTTGTGTTGAATACGATTTTGTAAAGGTATACAGGCACTGCATGAATAAGTATGTACAAATACGATCTAAGGGCGTAAGGAGAAGCATATTCCCAAGTTTGGAAACCACTATTAAAAATGAAATAGTGAGTCTAGAACAAATAAGTATTTTTCAAATAAATAAATCAAGTGCAATATTATCATTCAATAGTAGGTTTACCGGTTCCCAGTAGTTGAAGGTCTCATCACAGTCAGAAATGTGAACAAGAAAAGCAGCGAAAAATCTAGCAGTCAACAGGATTTTCAATGGTGCGTCAAACCTCACAAACCAATCTTTATCGCTGATAACTGCATCATTTTTGCTAGTTACACAAAACATGTCACAAAACATATTTAACAATTGTAGTTAGTGTCTAATTTAATCGTTATTTACTCGTTTTTTTTCAATTTACGTTTCTTCATTTCTTTTTTGGCTTTTGGAATAAGTTTCAAGACCATAGTTTTATAGTCTAAACGCAAATAATTAGGTAAAAATTAATAAGTCATCATTTTACTAAATTGCTTTTTTAAAAACATGCCAACGTGTAATAAGCTCACAACGGCTCGATGTTTCAGTAATGAAACATGAGATGCTAATTATCTGGCATTCCTGCACTGTTAAGTTGATTTTAATACCAACAACAACAGATTTTTTTTATTTATTTGAGGAACATTAATTGTAAAATAAATAAAACATAAGTACCGCCACAAAATCTATTTTGTCATAATGATTACAAGATTTTAAATCATTGATAAGACGAATCTCCAAAATTTCTATTATCACTGAATCTAAAATTGAATTAATGATTTTAGTTTTAAAACGCGCGAATTTCAAATTTTTCACACTAAATCTCGTCCTTCGTACAATAACCTGTAGACAAAATATACAAACGTAAGGCACCGAAATAATTGTACAGGTTGCCAAAGATAGAAAGTGTTTGGTATAATATCTTAACTTAATCAACAAAATAGTACAAACATTATTAATGTAATGCAAATAACTTCAAAAAATAATATAATATAAAGTATAAAAATAATAAGTTACAAAACATTTTAGATGGCCTTAAATTTTGATTTTATACATTAAAGCTATTGACTGTACATTTATTTCCTATATTCTGTAGTATCATAAATTAAAATTAACCTGATGAATTATATTATTTTATGAATATGAGTTCATCTATTAGAATTCCAAAGAATATAATATATCTATAATAGATTTTAAAAAAGAATTGCTCAAAATTACATAAATATTTTTAAACATTTATTCACTTTTTTATGGTAGGGTATATATATAAATTTATTTTAGTTTTTTGTTTATATTTCAAAAAACATTTTACCACAAAGTAGTAAAGATTACCATAACAATTAAAACATTTCATCAATTAACCAATAAATTACTCAATATACATAATCAATCTTTATTCACAGATAACACAAATTTAAAAAAATAAAATACTTTGCATTTAAAAATAATAACATTATAGTAAATATAATTACATTACACGAAAAAAATAAAATTGAGGTAGACAACACATAATAGTTACTAAGGTGGTAATATATTGTACAACTAACATTAGTTTTTTTTTTTAAAGAAAATCTATAAAATTGGATCATTAGTTAAAAATAACAATATTGTACATTGAATAGATGATTAAGTATGACGAATGACTTGAACAGGACATGATTCAACCTTTTTAACGACTTTAATAACAGACGCACGGATAATATTTTCATTGATATTGATATTTTCAAATTCTAAATGCGTGTTCCTTACATGTCTGTCTAAATTATCTTTACGCGTGAATTCCTTCATACACATTGGACAGTTCAGAATATTCTTTTCTTTAAAATTCCAAACAGATATTATATTAAAATATTATTTAAAGAAATATTATAAACATTGTTAAATGTATTACTATTGTGAGTTCCTAGATGTCTTTGTAAATAACGTTTTTCTCTAAATAATTGATTACATAAATAACATGAAAATTGAGTTGAACGTATATGTATCTTTTTATGTGAAACCAATGCATCTTTCAAGCTAAATTTTCGTTTACAAATATCACATGAAAATTCTTTAGTTCCTGAAAATATACAAATTTATTATAACTTTAACGTTATTGTAATATATTGAATATCTATGTATTATATGTGAAACGCCATTTATTATAAATATATTTAATAAGTGTTAATGATATTTAACCAAACAAAATAATAGCCTTCATAATAAGATACTTTTCTATGATAAAATTAAATAAAGCAATTAATATTAATTAATTGTTGAAAAAATGTTTCTATCAATATTTTTTCTATATTTTTTGTACCTAAAATTAAATTTATTATTAAATATCAAGCTTACCAGAATGTTTCCTAATATGATGTTTTTTTAAGCATTGTTTGTTTTTAAAAAATGTTGAACAAGTAGCACATTGGAATGGTTTTTCAACAACATGTGATTTCATATGAACTTCCAAGGACCGTTTTCTTTTGAAACCTTTAGTGCATAATGCACAAAAATGAGAATAAGCTGAAATATATTTAACTTACATTAATTTGAATAACTTTGTAAGTGGATAAGTACATTTTCTTCTTTTTCGCTTTATTCCTAACTATTTGGAGTCGGCCACCTTTGTCCTTAACCTCTACTCGTCTCGATTTTCTACATCACACACACTAATACCCTTCATATCATTCTCAATCTTATCTACCCATCTTTTTTTTTGATCTTCCTCTTTTCCTTTCAACATTAATTTTCATAACCACTCTTATTTCTTTTGTTTCTTTTTGCTTCATCACATATCCAAACTATCTCAGTCTATTTTCTCTCATTTTATTCATTATTTATGGTACACTACTCTAGTATGATCTCTCACATATTCGTTCCTTATTCTATTTTCTCTTGTTACTCCACTTATCCATCTAAGCATTCTCATTTCCGCATTACTCATACTCTGTTCTATTTTCCTGTCAACCGTTCAACACTCCAACACTTAGTAACTTAACACTAAGGTGTTTTGTCAAGTAACCAGCGGCACAGTTGATTTCACTACACTCCTGTAAAATTTACCTTCCAACCTCATTAAAATTCTCTAATCACATAAAACACCCGATACTTCTCCCCATTTCATTCAACCGTACTTAATCCTATGTTTTACATACATTTATAAGTGAATGTGTACATATTTTAATTCATTACTTAGAAAAAGATATACATATACTAATATTTATTTGCATATATTACCTGCATGTACTATTTTATGTTCAATCATTTTAGATTTAGTAAAAAAACATTTTTCACAATGTACACATTTAAATGGTCTTTCTCCTAAAATAACAACACAATGTAATTCAAGTTAATATTAATAAAATACTTAAATTTAAGTTTTAAACAACTATTTCTGTATACCGGTGTGTATAAAATACATATAAATATATGTGTATATATAACTAAAACGAAATTGAAATTATGTGATTATACATAGATAATAATTTACATCCAAGAATTGAAAAATAAATTAGATTTTATTTTAAAATAAATAAATAAACATTTGATTATCATCAATTTTCTGTTTTATTTTTATTATTCTTAATATGCGAAGTTAATAAAGCTTAAAATTTAAAACTTGTGATTTTAATAACAATATATATATGAAATACTGATATGCGATAGTTTTAAATTTTTATTATTTAAAACAAGATAAAAAAATATTTCATATAGTGTATTCCCTTAGAGAGAATAGAATATATATGCATTAAATATGAACTAGATGATAAATTAATTAATCTAAATAAATGTTTAACAAGTTAACGGCTACATTATTTTTCAGTATATCATCTGGGCATATTACTATTTCTGATACACTGTTTTTTCCAAAAAGTTTTTGTGTACCAAATTCAAAACACTGGAATCTTTGCCAAAAAAGTTACAAATGTAATTTGAATATAGGAAAATATTTTATAGCCCCCCTCCTCTGGCCAAAAAAAATTTTTTATCAATTTCATTCAGACGTATCAGACATATTTACTTTTTTCTGTTAGCTTGAATAGCAAATGAACCATTCATCAAAAATGGTACATACAACCTACTTAATCTACCTAGGTTCAAAATAAAATTTCAAAAATAAAATATAATCCATTTAAATATAAAAGCATAGAATATAATTTTTTATAAATTTTCTTTCCTATAACTATGTAAACATACATAATCCTTAAATATTTACCTGTATGAGTTAACATATGATAATCTAAATGTGATTGTATTTTAAATGATTTATTGCATTTATTGCAAAACAATTGTTTTTTCGTTCTATCTCCATTGCATGTCAAGTGATAGAAGCAATTTTTTTTGGACTTGAAAGTTTTTTTGCATACATTACAATTATATTTGATAATTCCATCACCTATAAAAAAACATTAAAAATGTATGTATAAAAATAATAATCTGAAAGAAGAAAGAATATATTGAATAAATAATTACATTCTAATGAAGAAATGTGATCAGGGATTAAGAAAAGTTTTCTCTTGGTTTCATGTATTTTATGGTCAGGAATTTTATCTAAGTCATCATTTTCTGACTGATTTTTAGCATTAACATTTAATGAATATGGTTCTAGGTGTTTGTGTCTGATTAATTCTTGGTTTTCAGTATCACAATAATAAGTCATTATATTAAATAAAATACAATAGTATATTTTATGAATTTAAAAGTAATGATATGTATATATTTAAAATTTATTAACAGTCATTAACTTCATATTGTTTTAAAATAAAATGTACATAGTATAATCATAAAATAATTACACTGAACCATAATTTTAAAAACCAATAAAATTAACACTATTTAAAAAATATCACCAATACATCAAATTATAAAATATATTTTAATGTTGTACTTATATGTTATCATAGTCGATATGTTGATAACGAATGATGTATGCCAATTTCACAGTTTAAGATAATATCACAGATTATATAAAACTGTGATGTATAAAATATGATATATAAAAATGTATACAAAGATATATAAAATGTGATGTATAAAATATGTGATAATATCACAGATTCTCTTATAAACTTATCAAATTCTTATAAATATCTTTTTTTTCATAGTCAGTGGATTATATTAAAAGTTATTATTACCACAGAACATTATAATGCCTGAGATATTACACGATATTATATGATAACATGTGATAATATCTTAAATCGTGAAAATAACATTGACTTTATAAGATATAAGAATAAAGTCTATGGAAAAAAAACAATTATCTTATCATTAAGCTTATCAGTTATCACTATATTTTCAAAACCAAAATAAATGTTTCATAAGACTGCTTAATTTTCTTAAAATTACTAAAAAGTCATCAAATATAGGTATTCAATTTTTTTAAATTAACAAAAGGAATAATATTATATAATTAGTTTATTGTAATAATTATCTCTTTTTAGTATGGCATCAAATGAAGTAAGAAAAAAAGTAAGCTATGTATATCTTATAAAGACATACCTATGAAACCTCTAGATTAAAATATGCCACAAAAGTTATAATTTTGATATGAATTGCATTTTTTTTTCATAAAGTAAACTTTGTTCTAAATTTCATGAATTATCTTCTCCAGTTTCCAATTGTGATTACTGGATGTTTATGAACCATCCCATTTAATATCCTGCTATCTTATGTGTTCCCCGTATATGCATAAATTATTTCTCTAAAAATGCAATAATTTATTTCAATTTCAGGTGCTAAATATCTTCAAACAAGTCCATAAAGCAAGATTAATGTGTTTTAAAAATGATAATCACATGTTAACTGGTACCTATGCATTTCATTATAATAAAAGCTAGTAGATATTAGAATTTAACGTCTCTAAATTAAAAATTTTAATAATACTTTAAACACCATTGTATTCTAATTTATTATAACCATTTAATACTTGAATGTATTCAAGTTTTATAATTTATCTACATCGATTGTTTTTATTAGATAGCTGGATTATTAGATCCAGTGTTTGATTTTTATTTTTAAAATTTTATTCCTATAAGTTTTATATCAAATCTATCCAAGTTTTAGATTTGTAATAATTTTGGTTATTGAAACAAAATAAATACTTTTTTCGTGTATGCTACTGATAAAATTAATAATAATCATTTTTAAGTAATATTTAGTCACTACATAAGTAAATTAATTCAAAAGTATTTGATTTTTTTTTTACTATTATTTTACAGCTTCAAAACATCAAATTAATGAAGAATTCAAAAAAAATAAAACAATTTCGGATCCTGTTACAATACAAAATGTAAGATTAAGATTAAAATTTAAACAACTGATTATATAATTATACTCACTTATAAAATTAATATTGATTTAATGAGTTTTAAATTGTTTTCATTACATATGAAATAACAAGTACATTCAATTAAGCAAATTCTTCTTCTTTCCTGTCAAGCAACCTTGTATATAAATATGACTAGAATAAATTAATCAAAATGAAATTAAACAGTTATGAGTCAGTAACATTAAATAAATAAATCAAACAAATAAATATTAGTGATCAATAGATAATAAAACATAAATAATTAATTTGGTGTCAGTATGATTTGATTCTGTAGTATAATGATTTTGGAATTATGTGTTAGACGCTATCTTGCCAAAACTTGGCCACTTCTATTCCTTTCTTTGTCGCTGACATGATGTCTATTGTGCAGGAAGTTGGGTAGCTTTTTAGGTAGGACATAGTCTGAAGCTGTCCACAGTCACAATTTGTATCCTCCTCAGGAATGATGCCCCATTTTACTTGGTTTTCTTTGGATCACCCAACCCCTACTCTCAGTCTATTTAGTGCTCTCCATGTTGATCACTTTAAATTGTTCCCTGCAGGTAGGTGTTCGGCTGGTGCCATCCACTTCTTAGTTTCATTGTCTAAGGAGAGTTTTCATCTGTCAATCCTTTCTTGTTCCTGATTACTTTCCAATATTTGTGTACACTTTAGAAAGGTCTTCCTTGATTTTAGGTGATTTGATGGGGGTTTAATACCAAACATTGGATCTTGAATCAATAACTTTAACTAATTTATGGTCTTCAGTAAGTTTGTACAGTTTCTTCAGAAGTAAATTATGATTTACGGTATCATAGGCCGCTGTGAGGTCTATGAAGGTTATGCCGGTGATTTTTTTTTCTTCGTAACCAGTTTCGATAAATTAAGTTGAGAATTTGGCTTGTGCATGATTTCCCAGAACTAAAGCCTGCTTGCTCTTTAATGAGTTTGTTGTTAAAATAGGGCCTAGTCTATTAAGGATAAGTCTTTCGAAAATTTTGTACGAGTGGCATAGGAGAGAGACTGGACAATAGCTTTTGGGATCTTCGGGGTCCTTCCCAGGTTATAGTAGTGTAATGATCTCTGCTTTCCTCCATATTTTGGGTATCTGGTAGGTGTTTACTATTTCGTTAAAGAAATCAAAAAGCCAGTTTTTGGTACCCCGTCCAAAGTGTTTAATCTGTTCCGTCGTAATATCGTCCAAGCCTGAAGCTTTATTGTGTTTAAGATCTTTAATTGTTAGGTTTTGTTCTTCTTCTGAAAACTTACCTGTGAGCAATGATGATTGTGATCTCGTTTTATTGTTATATCCTGACCAATCAGTTCGGCCGCAACGTTCAACATGAACACACGCACGTCGTAATCGTCCGCGCTCCATTATCATATCGCTATTATATAATTTGTCACAATAATATTACATCATTATCATGCCGCATACACCTAAAACAACGAAGTGAAACCTATCTAACAGTTCGCCCTGTAAAATCGACAAAAAAAAGTTTTTATCACCTCGAACCGTTACGCCGTACTCAACACCGATGAAGACAATGTACTCGCCACACCTTCAACTAGCACCACGAACAGACCACGTCACAAAGTTCACAATGCTAAGCCCGTGGCTCCTCCTATCCACATCAAAAACATATCCAACTTCTCAGCATTCAACACCGTCCTAAAAAATATCCGGACCCAATGGTTACACCTGTAAGTCAACTCCGTCACACCTCATTGTACTACCCACCGATAAACGAACTTACAATGCAATAATAGATCATTTACATGAAACAAACGCTAGTTTCCATTCATTTACCCCCCCCCCCAAGTCATCGCACATACAGAGTTGTCATTAAAAATGTACATAATTTCACCTTACTCACCGATATTACTTCTGCTCTTACTGAACAGGGACATTCAGTCAAGAGTATTTACAATGCCAAAAACAGGAACAACTGCATACTTCCAGTATTCTTCGAGGATATCCATCAGCAAGATAATAACAATGATATCCACGAAATTACATCTCTTTTCAACACAATAGTGAGAATCGAAAAACCATTAAAAAAAAGACGTGGCCCACTGCATTGCCTTAATTGCCAAGACTATGGACATACAAAGAACTATTGCAACCATGAAGCTCGATGTGTCAAATGTGGTGAAAACCATCTGACAATCGAGTGTACCAAGGACCGAAATAGTCTAGCCAAATGCGCTCTATGCGCTAAAGACCACACCGCAAACTTCAAAGGATGCTCAGCATTCGAGTCAATATTTAAAAAATCTACTCAAAAATTTCAACCAGTCAAAGATCCTGACCCTCACTTTCAACAGTCTCAACCCAGAACCAAAACCAAATCAAATGCAGAAGCCACCAACAACCAAAACAAAATCACAGAACAAATATCAAATACCTTTTCAAAACTCATATCCAATTTAAGCTCTTTAATTAATCCATTAATTTCCCTCCTTAAATCAGTCTTAAACACACTAATAGCTAAAGGCATTATCTCTCCATAATACTATTGCACACCGTCTCATAATACATTTATAATCTTATCGTTTCTCAGACCTATCCTCATTAATTTTATCTCAAATTTTAATTGAAATTATGTAACGTCCAACCAAGTCTATCATTATTAACGACTACATTTTGTCAATTTAGAATATATATATTATTATTATTATTTTCTTTTAACCGTATCATTATTATATAAATAATACCTTGTTATAACATGTAATATGTTGACACATTATAAGTTTAAATAAATAAAAAAAAAAAAAATCCTAACCAATATTTTTTTTTCCCTTTGAATTCTCTTGATTGGTCTTACCATTTAGAAGTAGTTGATGAGTCACTTGATTTGGAGATACTGTTCTTATATCGTGAGATTTTGTAGGATCACCGTCAAGTCTTTTAATAAGGTCCCACGCTTTTTTACTACTGTGTTTCATATCGATTTCGTTTAGAAACAAATTCCAATATATCCGTCTTGCCTCGACGATTGTTTGCATGAGTCCTTCACCTTTTTCAAAAGTTTCAACGTTGAAAGGGTTCATATTGAAGAGTATTGTGTATATTTCGTAATCTTCGGATTGCTCCGGGGATGAGCCAGGGATATAGTTTATTCTGCATCTTCTAGGAATACAAGTATGGTTTCTTGACACTTTGACTATTTTAATAAAGGAGTCGTATTGGGTGTGAAATGGGGGAATTGGTTTTAATTCAGAGTCTAAATTCCTTGAGAAAGCAGGCCAATTTGCCTTAATGAAGTTGAATCTTATTTTAAAAGGAACTTAAAGGGGTCTAATTCTGGTCAGGATATTGGGCGATGTTATAAGTGAGGATTTATTAACATATTTGATGGCTTGTTGTCTGAAATTTTTATTCATGAAAATTATATTTGGATTATATCCCCTCTTCCATCTACCGCTATTGAAGGAATAAGGTAGCTTTGGGTCATGGATTAGTAATAGATCGTTGTCTTCAGCCCATTTCTCCGCTGCGACTCCATCGTCATTTCTCTTCGCATATCCTCAAGCTTCGCTATGGCTGTTAAAATCTCCTATTAAGCAAATTAAAAAAAATATTATTTATTTAGTTAGTGGATTAAATATATTTTCTATATATTACACTAGTATTATTGCCTTGGTTAAATATTAATGTTTTTTAGATACTACATAGATATACTCTTTAGTACAGCATATTATGTATCTACTACTTATCTGAAGATTAAATATTCTATGAATAATATTTTAAAAAGCAATTTAATCATTATATTTAAAATAAACAATTAATAATTCGTATTTAAAAATAAATATTAAAACTTCTAAACATTTAGGAAAACCAATTATACATTTTCATTTCTCATTTTGAGGCCCTTAATATCAAGTAATTTTACCTTGATTCTTTAAATGTGTTTTGTAATTACAAATGCTATTTTTCATTCATTTTACCATATTATTAATTTTGAGTTGTATATATACAGTTATTAACTTTTGCTCAAGATGTTGAGCATGAACTCTTAACACAAGTCTTGCAAGTAGAAAAAATTGAAGAAAAAAGATTTAGTAAGTTCTTCAAATCATGATCAATTATTATTTTTGGTTTCATTAAATTTTTGCATTTTATATTTAGAATTGAATATAGATCCAGAACGTCATACTCATGAGAATATACCATATGTCGAGTTAGATGATGAAACATATAAAAAGTGGAAAGAAGAAAAGAAAAAAGGTAGCAAAATAAAAAATAAGTGTTGTTGTGACTAGACTATATTAAAACTAACCTATGTTAAAGTTAAAAATTAAATTTTGAATCAATATTAATAATATATGTTGATTAAAGATAACTAAATTATTATACTTTGAAATTGTTTGAAAATATTTTATTAATTAATATCTATAGTGTACAGATAAAAATTAGTAGGTAGTTACTAGTTTTATTTATGTTAGTAATATTCTATATTACCAATAAACTATTAACTTTTAATTTGAAAACTGTATTATATTTATTTCATATTGTTAAATCTACCAGATTTATAAGTTATAATAATATTAATATATTATTATCAACTAAATTATAAAAAATTGATCATTCTTATTTCATATTTTCTATTTTAAATATGTATATATAAATAAACAAATAGTTTATACATAGAAATAAATAAATATTATTTGTCTCTATATTAATTTATGAATATTATTACCCATATAATAATTTTTAATTTTTAATATTTTATTTTTTAAATATGTATTAAAATGTTCAACAGATATAAATCAAAATCAAATTTCTTGTATTGTACAAGCGAATAATAAATATTATTTAATATGCCTATCAAGTTACATATTTGAAGATAATAACTTCATAATTTAATTAATCGTCCATTGAGTGATAGTATACTTTAATAAAATCATCTAGTCAATGGAGTACATTCCTTTAATGATTTTATTTTAAAATTCATCAAATAGAAAAGAAATTTTTATAATGGATTTTAATTTAATTGAACATTGCATATTTTTAAAAAAAAATTTTTTTTTTTGCCTTTGTTAAACATTACAGCAATAAAATTAGATTAGTTAAGCATAAAGATTGATAGTTAACAATTAGCTAAAAATAATTGAGTATAAATTAAATAAGGAAGCCAGAAGAATTGATGAAATTAATAATGGAATGAATGATAGGAACGGAGCGAGAGTTATGAAGAAGATTAGAGTCGGGAGTTATATAATCAAGGGAAGATAAGAATGAGAATAGAAGTTGTCCGCTAGGAAGAATGGAAGGACAGTTAAATATAATGTGTTTAAAATCACATATTGAATCTTCATGAGGACTAGTGCCGAGCGGAGAGGAATTAAGGGAAAGCTTGAAAGAATGATGGAGAAGAAGGCTGTGCCCAAATCCTACGATCAGACGCCTAGAAATGTTAATTTTGCCGAACCATGGAAACTTGGGAATTATAGGGGCAATATGTCTATGCCAAGTAGCGAATTTACGTGGTGAGGAGGACCAAGTTGATTGCATCGCGGAGGAGTCTGCGATGAACAGTAAGGAGATCAAAAGCAAGAATTTTATAAATGGGAGGATGTGTAGAGAATTTTGTGGAAATGGCCAGGAGATCAGCTCGCTCATTGCCGGCTATACCGACATGACTGGGAACCTATAAAAAATTGACAATTTTATCATTGAGGCTAATACGATAAATTAAGGATTTGATGATGAGAATTGAGAGAGGGAGGATTGAATGAATTAGAGGAAAGAGCGAGGAGGCAAGACTGTGAGTCAGAGATAATGAGGAAGGGTTTGGAATTAAGAGTGAAAATGAATTGAAGAGCATTAATTGAAACCAGAAGCCTAAAAATAAACTAAGATTTACCACACATAAAAATAGACAACAAATATATACAACTCCAAAACGCCAACAATATATCAAACAAATACCTATCACAAATTATAAAACAAGAATCAGAAGAATAATAAATCAACAAAACATCAAATAGTAAAAAGATAATCCCTAAATATAAACCAAAACTTAAATACTACTTAAACACACTACCCACAAAAAAGCCTAGAAAAAGGACCCAAGAATTTCTTGGGAAATTTTCTTTTTGGTATTTCTATCAACAAGACATCAAACAATGAAAAGAAAAATCCTAATCAGAAGACAAAACAAATAAACAGCTGTTCTACCCTACCTACAAACAACCAAAAAAAAGATTTTAAGATTTACGACTCATAAACACAGACAAAAAATATATTCAACTATTTATCAAACTTATACCTAGCAAAAATCATAAAAAATAACAACCAAAGAACAATAAATAATCCTATATCAAACAGTAAAAAGAAAGTTCCTCATTAAAATTCAACACTGCATAATTAAAAAGCCAAAAAAAAATTAAATAAAGAAAAACCACTGTTATTAATAAAAAACAAAAATATCCAACACTGGACAAAATTAAAATTATAAAATTTTAAATTATTAAATTCTTATTGGAAGCCAAAACACAAGTTCTATTCCGCTCTGTATAGAAAATCCATAATAAATAAAAAAAAAAAATACCATAGGTGTATAAATTAGGTTACCATAAATAACTCCAGTCTTGATTCCATTACTCTGCTCGAGGTGATTGATGAATTCCTGAAAAATAATTTTTTTGCGATGGAGAGGTGTTTACCCATCGATCAATCCCCAACCTGGAGGACCAGCCACAAGGATCTGTAAAGACCCTTCTGGAGCTATTGCAATGTATGTGTATGCATTGGGCGATGGGAACGACATTTTCCCAACGCCACGAAATAGCTTTTAGTTAATGTAAACGTAAAATCCCCGGTCTCGACGGAATACTTTATTGACAAAAATTATGAAAAAAGTTATTAACGATAGAATAGTTTTGGTACCTGGATGAGAAAAAAAATAATTAATTAACAAAGAAGAAATATCACTTGGATCTAACCTTGAGACATTTGCGGAATCTGTGAGAAAAGAACAGAAATGTGGGCAAGCGGGAAATGGGTGCTGCACCACGACAACGCCCCTGTGCTTTCTTCACTCATCCGCGATTTTTGCACCCAAAATACGATGCGGACAGATACTCATAGGTTAGTTAACCAGTTTTAACCCGAACCAAATAATAACGACATATTCAAAATAAACCTAATTTGCCACTCAGTAGTCAAATTTGAAGAACCTTGCTCAAAAAAACAATTAACACTTGACAATTTAATAGATCTTAGAGTTTCACTTAAAACACAAGAAAAATACAAGATGAAGTCGAAAGTGCAGCACAAAACATTGTTGAACTTATAAAAAAAGCAGCTGTTTCCTCAACTAAAACTATCCCCTTCCATTGTTACCCAATAACACTCTTCTATTCAACTTACAACTCCTTTTAAATAAAAAAAGAAATACGATATCTACATGGCAAAATTCTTGTCTCCCCAGCGATAAAAAAATATTCAACCGTCTATCAAATTTTCTAAAAAAAAAAACTTATCAAATACAAAGCCGAACAATACAAGAACTATATCAATTCGTTAGAACCCACCCTCAATTTTCTATAGAGATCCACAAAAAAATTAACTAAAATCAGTGAAATTATCCCACCTTTCCTTATAAGCTACAATCTGCTAGCGTCAACAGATGAAGAGAAATCCCGATTTTTTACCGAACATCTAGCTAATACATTTAAGCCTCACAAAAACATTTTTCCAAATCCTGAATACTTAAGCCAAGTTAATGAGTTTATCTCTTCCTTCCTACCAATATCTCTTCCTACGAAATCAATTTCACCCAACGAAATTGTTTGTCTTATCAAGAAATTACCCGCACGTAAAGCACCTGAACACGACTTAATCACAAATAAAGTTCTAAAAAACCTGTCGAAATAATGTATCCTCTCTTTAATACATATTTTCAATTCAATGCTGCGACTATCCTATTTTTCTACCATCTGGAAACTTGCGGTCGTAATCGTTATACCAAAGGTAGGGAAACCAAAAAACTTAGCCTCATCATATAGACCCATCAATCTCTTACCAACGCTCGGCAAATTGTTTGAAAAATTAATTCTTCTTCGAATTTGACCTATCTTACATGAGCACCAAATCATACCTATCATTCAATTTGGATTTCGACTAGGACACTTTACAATAGTCCATCGACTCACAGATACCATTGCCTCTGCTTAAGAAAGAAGGAAATATATTGCCTATCACAATATATTGTGCTGGGCTCTTCCTGGATGTTGCCCAGGCTTTTGATAAAGTCTGGCATGACGGGTTACTATTTAAAATAAAAAAATTCATGCCATATCAATTATTTTTAATTATTAAATCTTTTCTAGAAAATTGAAGTTTCACAGTTAGACAAGGCAACTCCTTCTCGTCCCAATTCAATATCACTGCAGGTGTCCCCCAAGGTATCGATCTAGCACCCGACCTCTATAATATTTATACCGCCGCTATCCCACGAACTCCCAACACACTATTAGCCTCTTTTGCCGACGACACAACCTTATTGTCCACAAGTGATGATATTTCTACAGCTGCACACAATCTGCAATATCGCACTAGCCTAATCGAAGTCTGGTGCAAAAACTGGTTGATTAAAATAAACGAGAGCAAATCAACTCAAGTTATTTTTACCCTTCGCCATGGCAACTGTCCCTTAATCAAATTAAACAATGTAAACATTCTTGTAAGTAATGAAACTAAATATCTCGGCATTTTACTCGACAAACACCTAACTTGGGGCCCTCATCTCAAAAATAAAATAAAAATAGCGAATAATAGACTACATCTTTTTCGACCTCTCCTAAAATCCGAACTCAAACTTAAATTAAAAATACTATTATATAAAATCGTTATAAGACCACTGTGATTCTATGGTATTCAAATTTGGGGGCCAGCCAAACCTTCAAACATTCACCCCATTCAGTCATTTCAAAATATAACCCTTCGTATCATCACTGGTGCTCCCTGGTATATATCCAATCAATCTTTACATAACGACTTACAAATTGAAACAGTAAATGCACTATCAAAACGCCATTATAAATCGTACTACACAAAACTATCATCGAATATTAACCCCTTAATTAAAAAAAATGTCTTCAAATCTTATCCCTGACCAGCCTCCACGCAGACTGAAAAGAAATTGGTATCGTGACCAATAACTGTAACAAAACAAACAGAACTGTACAATCTTCCACTTTGCACCTAGATAAGTAATTCAATCGAAGACATTTTACGAGAGGTAGTGGGTGATTTCCCCTATTAAGTGACTCATGTTATGTTTCATATTGTATATTATCGTTATCACAAAGGCTTGTGCAAATTATGTGTATAGATTGTCTTTTTCTATTAAAAATAAAAAATAAAAATATCACTCACTGCTATACACAAATATATATAAATATTAGTTTATATAATAGATATCTGTATTGCTATAATATTATTTTATTGTTAAATAATTAATATTGTCATATTAAGATGTTAGCATAATACATGAAGCAATTATTGTTAATTTTTCAGTAACTATAAAAACTGCTATAGCTATTGAAAAAAGTCACAGTTTACCACACAGAGTAAGAATATTACTCTCAAATTTTAATGATATACAATTTAAGTAACAGTATAAAATAATATACGTAAATGCCAAATAGTTTTAGATTTTTTAACGTCGACACTGTTATTCTGTTATCAGTTGACTGTTTTCATTCTGCTGCTTGATCTCGATAACAATAATAAATAACAAAAATCTACTACAATTGTTTCTGTTTGTGTTAGAATATTTTAATAAAGTAGTGAAAATTATTAAAATTTAAAAACACCTACAATTATATATTGATCCAAACAAATTGATTTAAGGGTGTACATAGATCGACGTATTTTCGTTTTGTAAGTTCGTCAAATTATTATTTTGTTATTTTCATTACTTAAATTCATAGTAATTACATAGTTCATTTTAATCCAGTGTTAGCATAACCCTATTTTAATCGGATTTATTAATTTTGCAATAACAACTTAAAAAATAAGTAAAAAAAATATCACAAATAATAAAAATGTCTTCTTATGGAATAAGTACCTATACATTTTGAAATGAATGGGCTCTTCTGTAGGTCATTGTTTCTAATATATTTTTGACTTAGTTTATTACAAAAATAATATCTATTTGTACCATAATGTTTTATACTAGTCTGTTTCTTAGGTACAAGAAAGTCATGCATTGCTTTAGTATGACATGATTTTAAAGAAATGTAAGTGGTAGATAAATATCGACAAAATAGACAAAGATAATTATTATGTATCATTACTATTATCATATTAGCTCCATTACCTCACTATGACTATGAATCAGTACAACATATTATTCCAATTTGTAATGGCTTCTAAATAAAGAGTGACAATACAATTTTTGCTTTAGAGCAGAAAATATCTAATTCTTTAATCTAAAGGACTGATCTTACATTATATGATTTTGTAGTTATTCATCAATACTCATATTATTTTTTGTTACAGAATAAAATATGAGGGATCGTGAACGTTATAAAGATAAAGGACATGACCGTTCTAAAGATAAACATCGTGACCGTTCTAATAGTGTAACTAGAACACGTAGGGGTAGGTCTCACAGTTCATCGCCAAGGATAAGGCGTGAACCACGCGAAAAGTCAAGAAGCCCTCGTCGTGGTCGTTCACGAAGTTCTCCACGATCTAGACGTGATGTTAGAAAAAGAAGTCGTTCCCGTCCTCGTCATTCACGATCAAGATCACCTGTAAGACGTCATTCTAGAGATAGAGAGCGTCGTCGTTCTAGAAATCGTGATTTGCGAAGATCAAGGTCAAGAACACCAATAAAAAAAGATAAAAAAATTATTAGATCAGTTCAACACACAGCTCCTAAAATTACCGAAGAAGATTTACGTGGTAAAACAGCAGAAGAACAGGAAATGATGAAAATTATGGGTTTTTGTAACTTTGACTCTACTCAAGGTAAAGAAGTTGATGGTAATAATGTTGGTGATGTTCATGTGATACTTAAACGGAAATATCGACAGTATATGAATCGTAAAGGTGGATTTAATAGGCCTCTAGACTTTGTAGCTTAAGTAACTCTTGTATAGCTTATTTATTACGTTACTTTAATATAAACAATTGTATCTAAATTTGACAAATTATATTATTATATATAATATTAATCAGCTGCATTATACATTTTTCTATTATTTTTAGTGTTTTTTTTTTTTTTATAATTGATATGTTAAATAATACAATTGCAAATTAATCTAACTTACCTAAATACATCGCAATTAATAATCTTATAACTACAACATTAAGTTGAATCACAATTTTGTTGAATATAAATATCTAAACAAAGCTTAAAAAATTGTAATGATAGTGTATCTTAAACACCATATAATCTTACACATAAGGTGGAATTTCATTTTGATATTGATAACCTTGAAAATTTAAACAGATCGTTTAAATATTTATAAAGTTAATTAGAATAAAATACTTCTCTATACATAACAATATAATATATCGAATTATAAATCAGATTGGTTTATATTCATTGAACTATTTAATTATGTAAAGACATTTTTAAAGATTTCTTTTAATAATGAAGATCTTAACTATTTTTAGTAATTTGTTTATTTAATTAAATCAAATATTTACTAAAATCTTTAATAAAACAGAAATTAATTTAACCAAACCAAAAACTATTTTTTGAATATTATATAATACATACTTACATACTCTTTGTTTTAATAATAATTGATATTATATTAAAAAAATTATACTAAAATCATCATATTACACCATTATTTTTTAACCATACAGTGGTATGATAAATGTGTGTTGAGAGATAAATCAAATGACAAAAATACTTTTTCAATGCAATTTGATTAGTAAAAATATAAAATTTAATATTTGATAAGATTTAAAAATATTATAAAATATTTATGTAACCTATTGTGCTTTCAATTATTATTGTTTTTTAAACAATATTTTATCTTTAGGACATATGTGATAAATGAGCAGTCTAAATGGGTTTGTATTTAAGGAAATTAATTCAACATTTTTCTAGACATATTTATTACCTGTATGTTTCAAATTAAAAACTATTTTAATATTAGGTAACTGTAACAAAAATATTGAGAGTACTGTTTCAAGTACCCATGTATTTAACACAATAACATCAATTGTTATTAAATTTACCAAATCTGTTCAATAAAAACCATAAAGAAAATTATTATATCATCTATAACACAAAAAAAAAAAAAAATGGAAATCAAGAGGTTGGTAGGTAGTACCTAACCTACCTAATCTACCAACCCGCGTGCCTGAACATGCTTTCCAGCATCATCCAGAGGAAGGCGGAGGACGAGAGGGACAGGGAAACCGTACCACGGATCTGAACTACAACATGGAGGGCGCATCTTAACAGGTCAAGGGGTTGAGACGAGACCGGCCAGGTACTGTCTCTCCGATCTATAACCCACCCTCCCGTGTTTGGCACTACGGACGGAGGAACCACGAACCACACCGGAAACGGAGGCAAACCCGTTGGTGTCCACATCGTCCAAACGAAAAAAAAAAAATTGTAGGGCGGCCGCGAATCCCATTCTTAAGTTTTTTTTTTTTTTGTAAATCAGTAGCGTACGCTTGAGGATGGGATTCACCTATGTATAAAATTGTCTTTGTCAATAAACTATGGTGACGTCATGGAAGTAATGCGAAAGCAATTCCCGTGTCGCCGTCGATTCAAAACTGAAAAAAAAAAAAAGGTAATACCTATCCTACTAGGTATCATGATTGTAGATTATTTACAGCATTGTGGTAAGTACTGTATTTTGAGTAATTTTGAATATTTCTGTTAAAAAAAAAAAAATGTGCAAAAAAGTCTTACTTCTTTTCCTTTGCCTTTCCCTTATTTTTCTTTTTTTATTGTGCAAAAATATATTCTATGTAAAACAAACTTTTGGTTGTTTGAAAATAATTTTTATATTTTTTTATAAATTTATAATTCTTAACAGTGCAGTTAGTAAATTATAAGTTTTATATCAGAAGTCTACACAAAAATATAAATAATTTTGTCTCAAATAATATTAATAAATATTTTTTCTATAAATTAAATATGGACTTTCAAGTTTTAATTGTATGATATTCCACATACATATTTAATTATACCAACTTTGACAGTTTTATTTTTTAATCATAGTATGAAAAGTTAGCTTTCAAATAAAATTACAATAGAAAAAAATCTTAATATAATTTATTTTTATTTATATATTAATAAAGTTGTTTATATATATATTTAGTGGTTTTGAAAAGGTAAGTAAATTTAAAACTCTGCAATATGTATATACTAAAATCATTTAACATTTCTACAGATAAAATAAAACATATTTTATATATTTACAGTAAAATTTGCTTAAAACAATTTAAAGGACCACGTCTTACGCGGGAATTGAAAAAAAGTGATTGAATTATAAAGTTTATTTTTTTTAGAACATAATTTAACATATAATACATTTATAAATTATAATTGCATATCTTTTTTTACTATTGAATTTAATTAAAAAATAATTACATACATTTATCAATATACATATGTATTTTTATTAATATTATTTTTATATTTTATTACATATTAAATGAAATATCTATTTTTGTTTGCTTAAAATTCTGACAATGCGTTTCAAGAACATTTCCGATTTTGTTTACATAACCCAACATTTTTTTGGCATTTTCTACGGAGTACAATACTTTTCGAATTAAAGATAGATATTATAAATCAGCAGTAATTGTAGGAGTTGATACTGGATTGTCTGGATCTTCTTGATTGTCTTAAACCTCATAATACAATGAAATATGTATCTAGTCTAGCGGTTCCCAAACTGTGCACCGTGGTGCCCTGGGGGCACGATGACCACTTTCTAAGGGTATTGCGGTCTACAGTTCATAACAAATAGTTTAAAATGTATGAAATTGTTTTTCCTTATTGTTTTTGTAAAAACTTTATAGTAAATAATGTTATATTTTCTATTGTATATTCAGATACTCTCATTTTATACTTATATTTTTATATAATTATAATCATAATAACAATAATTTTTATTTAATTATTTTTTAAGTTTAAAAATGCATTGATTTATACTTAAGTTAAATTTTAATAAAATTAATAATTAATAAGTTTTTTTTTTTTTGTTCTATCTTAAATGTTATTCACAGCTGGGCACCGTGGCTAAATGGGGTCCAAAAAAAAGGCACCACAGAAATAAAAGTTTGGGAACCGCTGATCTAATCTTTAAGATACTGTAAGTAGTAAGATAAAAAAAGATAAATACAATAAGCACCAATAAACAAGTAAAATTTCAATTTTTGTATATACAGTTACTGCTTTTAATCATAATCTGTTGAACATAAGAGCGTCTCATCCAAGTAAATAGAGAATAACCGAGGGTCTTATCAAGTAGTTTTTACATTACCACTATAGGAAATGTCTAGGGACTGATGAAAAATTTCTTAGGCGAGTTTTACTGTATATGTGGACACCTAATATAGTTAAATTAACTACTTTAATTATAAATACAACCAAAATGTAGACAAATAAGATAATTCAGAAACTAAAAAATATTTTCTTAATTTTTAAAATAGTATAGAAGACATTGAATAAAACAGTTTTCATACAATTACTGTTAAATTACACGAACACTATTCAGATGTTTGTATATCCAGCAATTATAATTATTTTAAACGCATTAACAATTATCATGACACTTCGGTAATTGTAGCTAAAAATAACTCACAATTGATATTTCCATTTATAAAAAACTCATACGCATCTTAAAATGAACAACAAAAAGTAAGAAAAAATGATTGAAAAGATTTTAAATATTTCATTGTACCAAAGAACAAAAATATTGATTCAAGAAATATCTATCAATCAATTAATAACAAATATAATTCTTAATTTTCATGAACTAATGGTTATTCAAATAAATATTACTTTCATACCATATTAAGTCTGTAAAATATAGTTGAGTCATCGACTAAATATACATAATAATGTGTACTTAATCAATGGACATAATTGAAAACAAAAACTATTAAACATGGGACCAAGATTTTATTATAAAATTATAATAAAAACAAAAAAACTAAATTTAATTTGAATAATTATTTATTTTATTGATATACAAAATTTATCATTAAACAATTAATTAAGATAGGAGTAAGTAAATGACCCCAGATACTATTAATTGATATTAAAATTGTCAACAATAAATATAGCTGAATAAAATCTAGTCCATTGATTTATGTAAAAAAAATTTAAAAAAAAATAAAATTTTTTTTTCACAAAGAAATAGTTTAGGAACGTAGGAATTAACACTGTGAACAATTCTACAATCCTTTTTATATTTAACCTGGTAACAAAATAAAATCTTTCATTTTATTCACTACCACGAGGAGTTTGCTTTAAATTACTATTAACATAAACAGACGACCCACTTCTACCTCTGCGTCCTCTAATGTAATTATTCCTACCCCTGTAATTTTCATCCCAATTTTGATGGTGTTGATCATTACGATTATTTTTGTGATATTCGTTTTTTTCTCTGAAGTTGTCTTCTTTACTATAATTATCATTACGTCCTCTAGGGTTATCAGTTCTTGATCGATGGCTATGAATGAAGTTTTCAGATTTATGAGAATGACGAGAATTTTCTCTATCATCAAATTTAGTATCTTTTTGCTTATTTTCCCAATCCTACACAAGAAAAAACATTTTTTTAAGTTAATATATTACATCATAAGTACCTAAAATAAAATTAACAAACTTTGTTATAATAGTTGTGATGAGATGATCGATTATCACTTGAAAATTGAATAGGTCCACTTTTATTACGCTTGTTGATAGAAGAATGCGAAGATGGAGGAAAGGGAGCTGCACTTTTTTTGCTATCTTCTAATTTTTGCAAATTTTCATAATGTTGGAAGTCATCGAAAATTGAGGTTTCATGTTTATATGAGTGTATAATTCTTAATACTTGTACACCCTGATTATAAGGAACCTCTTGTGTGTCTCTAGAATGAGTCACAGATCTGTTTTCATTATTTTCCAAACGTATATGTCTTAGTTGGTTGTTGGGCACATCTTTTACATATACCCACCTATAAATTATACAACATTAAAATTAATAATGAATTATGCATGAAATATTTAAAAGAAATTACCTAACACCAAATTGTCCTTTCCATTTATCTTGACACCACACTGAACTAGAAGAATTATAATCAACAGCTGATATCATTTCTGCCACACCACAAAAATGACCAGATCCATTAACAGAGTACAAAAGAAATATTTTCTTTTTTTCTGATGAACTAAATGCTTGATCTAGCCGTCTATTACCATGATCTGTAGAACACCAAATTTCATATTTAATTGAGCGATGTATATCATCTTCAGAATAAGATTTAATGATAAAAAATCTTGATCCTTCAGGTGGATTAGAATATTCAACTGGATTGTAATGATTCTTCATTTTTAATTCATCAATTATTTTGCCTTTAGGCTTTTCCTCTTTTGGAGAAGTTATAACTTGTGGTTGTGATGGTTGTGGTGGTGGAGGTGATGACATGATTATGGGTGGAGGAGGTATATGTCTAATATGGTCAGGAGGAGGTATATGTGTAGGTATTTCTGTCATAGAGGGATTATATGATGGAGGAGCATTTCTATGATCACTCCAGTTTTGAGGTTTTGATTCTACAACAGGAGCTTGAACAATTGGAACTTGAACCTGTATTACTGGAGGTGGAGGTGGTTTAGCTACAGTTTTTGTTTCCCAGTGACCATCATTTTTACCAGAAACCATACGTGATGAAGGTATGCATGGACCTTTTTTTTTTGTTACAGATGTTAATGATGTCATAGGTTTGACAGGTTGTTTGGCAACCGACGCCCATGACATTTTTTTCTGTTGAAAGCTATTATTATCTCTATAATCATTTACATTTAATGCTTGCACGTCTTGTTCAATGGCTTTTATTTGTTCATTTACAGGAACTCCATATATCTGTTCACCAGTCCTATAATATCCTTCAAATGGCTTTTGAGCAATGTAATAGTTGTGATAACCTGGGTTAGGAGTAGGATGATTATATTGAGTATTATAAACATTTGGTTGACTATAAGCCTCTGGAGTAGGCAAATATCCTCCAATATATGTTACGGCTCCAGGTGCATTAGTCCATGATCGATCAGCCACATTATATGCAGTTGCAGTAGGATATTGATATGGAGCAGCATTTTGATACTGATAATATTGTTCAGGAGTCATAGCATTATTATAACCCTGTAATGATTAAAAAACTGTTCACAAATAATACAAACTTTAGTTTAATTTTAATTTATAACCAATAATATATATTTCACATTAAATGTATTACAATTAAATTAATAATAAGATCATATTTTTTTTCCTAAGATAATAGACAATTATTAAATTAAAAAAACATATAATGGGTATCTTCATTAACTATGTTGGTTAAATGGCTTTTAATTTGGTTCCATTATTCCTAATTATGCTTAATAATAATTAGCTAATGTCATCATTTGGTATGCTCAAAAAGGCTTTAAAAAATGAAGCTTCTACAAATGTTCATTACGATCACTTTATAAAGTACTAATAAGTATAAGCTATATATTTATAAACTTTGAAAATAGTAAAAAATGTCAAATGTCAAATTAGTTATATATAAATAATTATAACTGAAAATCACTACGACAAGAACTACCTATCAATAAAGATAACAAGATAACAAGATGATGGAAAAAATATAATTAACAACCAAAAATGTAAGCAAATTAAAAAATAACTATTTTTGCATTTATGGATTATTTATCTATCTATTGTACAAATAAATAAAGTTAAATGAATGATCTCTTAAGTACTGTAAGGAAATATATTTTCTGATCAAAATGGCTATCTAGTTTAGTCCATTCTCATTTACCAACTGAATAATATAGGAGCAAGCACAAGGATAAGAAAGAATTTTTAAAATAATGACTTACTGATTGTTGTTGAATTTGTGGATGCCAAACAGTTTCGAAATGTCCAGGCTCCTTTACTTTGCTATGATCTTTTTGTCCATTAACTGTTGGACAACAAACAAAATTAAACTAACTGTATTTTCATTTTTCTTAAAAATGTTCAGTAACATTATCTAGTAAAGTTTATTACTCAAGTCTTCAATAAATATATTTGCCTAATGATTATAAAATGAAAAGGTATAAGATTATAGATTAAAGTATAATTATAGAAAAATGTTTATGAAAGTTGTACTGCACAAATGAGGTATGAGAACAATAAAATGTTGAAAGAAAAAAACGTATAATCACCTTGGTTTCCTTGTCCCTTGACGCGCTGAACGAGTACATAGAACATGACAAATAAATACAAAATAATATCGAAATATTATAAATTGTACCAATTGTAACAGTCAGTACCTATGTAAGAATAATGGTTATATTTCACCTGTTCAGAAACGCCGGCTGACATAACGACTGTGTAACGCCACTGCAATCGTACCTATTCGGAAAGCTAATGTGTTCGACTACCATAAACACATTGATTAAACTCTTAGCAGGTAAAATCCCGAAATACTCCTGACGTCTAGATCAAAACAATGGCGGAACTGTGAGCCGGAAAAATGGTCGCAGCAGCAACGCACAGATAATGTACAAGCATGAATCCCAAGGAATGAAAATAGTAAATAAACAATATAATAATAATAGTAATAAAAATAATAATAATAAAAAAATAAAACTATAGATAAGTGGAAGCGGCGGGTGGCGGGAGGCGTTGTTGTTGTCAGCAGAGTGCGCGTCGTCGCGGGTTAAAATTTCGGAGTAAGTATACGGGAAACGACGATAATTTATTAATTAAAAAAAGGGTGATAAAAGAACAACACACATATCTGTGCTTGAAATATTTATGAATTCATCGATAATTTCTCGGAAGTAATCGAGTCTTGTACGTTGTATCGGTTAGAACGAAAAAAAACAATCAAAAATTATAAGATCACCGTTGAACGAGAAGCCCGCGCAAGAAAACGTCAAAGTTTATACGATAACGTAAATCTTGAGAAATCTCGCTGCGCCTGGTCACTCTGCGCGGTTTTTAGTACCAGTGTTTGGTTACCGCGAGCTCGCAATCATGTCTACATGGTTACCGCGACCGCAGTTCGTTCGGTACTTATCGGCATTGACGGCGCAACACGGCTTCTCCCCACCACCCGATACCGACAAGTTTTCGATTTGTGCACCGTCAACCATTCTCTTTCGTATGCGTACGTCTTCCGATTTTGCCGTTTGGTTAATCACTGCCGTACGGACATCCACCTTTTAACATCCAGATACCTCAACTTAATAATTTTTCTTTCGTATTATCCGCAATTTGTAAGCAATGGCCGCTGGAAAGAAACAGGTACGTTAACTTATTAGACCGTCGACTCTGTGCTCGATTTATGTATGCCGCACGTATAACCACGTGTGATCTTTAGGTTAATACATGTTAGTGTGGATCAAATGCATTTTTTGATAGTATTTCTTTTTGGGAAGTTGATTATTTTTTTAAAACAACAAATAATTTTCTTCGTTTATACCTTTGAGATCAAAGATTGTCTCAAAACTTTTTTGTTAACATGCTTGATTTTAATGTCTTCAATATTAATCATTTTTTAGTATATTTTTTTCATCTACCATTTTTATGCATCATATTATTCTACGTGTGTAAAATATTGCAATTGAGGACAGCTAAATTGACTGTAAGAATACGAGAATCCTGTTCGAAATGAGCTGTAAGTTGTTATTCTGGAAGCTTGTACCTGATGAATTATGTATGACATTTTGATTGCTCCAATTTTGGCACTGAAATGTATATATTGTGTTTCCCACTTGTAAATCCTATTAGTGAAAAGCTGGGTCGGAAATTTATACTGGGAAAATAAAAAAGAACAGCCCACTTAAATATACCAAAGGTGTAAAAACAACCCTAATCATGTATATTTTTATATAAAAATAATGTACATTATTTTGAAAATTTAAACATATAATATTATTATTAAGAATTAAAATACAGTTTATTTAATCATAGACTTAATTGCATTAGAAAATGTATCTGTCTATCAACTTAATGAGCCTAAATCATTACATTTTAAAAAAAGAATATCCTAACGAGTAAAAGCGGCCTACTGGGATATTCTCGATATCATCTGGCCAGTCCAGCCCTGATGGAAAGTGATAAGTACTTAATCAATTTTAGTTGCATTGCTTATACTGTATGGACGTCAAAAATTAAATTATAATTCCAATAAAGTTATGTTTTAGTAATTTAATGTTAGATCAAGACTGTTTTAATTTTTTATTATTGATTACCCAATTTAGTTAACTAAATCATGTTACTGAAATATAGGAAATTAAAAATAATAAAGACTGTAATTTCAATTTTTTTCTGGGTATGCAAGATTTTATGTAATTATTTATTCAAACCTTAAAAAAAAAAAATTACATATTGGTTAACCGGATAAAAGTCCTCATTAATTTAAGAATGTATGATATAGTATAATATTAATAAAAATATTAAACGATTCTATATATCATATTTTTATCTAGGGTTATGATATGTTTATTTTGTAATAAAAATTAAGATAATTTATAAATACATAACTATATCAATTTACTTGTAATTTTTTTTCCTGCATTAAATTATCTCCTTATTTATTATAATCCAAATTTCAATTTTATTGTTCTTATCAAATAACTAATTCAATGTCATAAAAGATTATAATCTATAGCAACTAACTAGAGCTTTTTCACTACTATAAGAAGAAAAAAGTTGATAGTGTAGTAAAAAAATTCACTTAAAATGCAAAAGTGAACTCTACTATTCAAATAAAACTTTACATAATTTTATAATTTAAATTAGTGAATATCCATGGGTTTAATGTATTACTATAATAGCACAGGAGTAATAATGGAGGGCCAATTATTAACACTTAATCTGTTGCACCCTGTCTCCTCACATTGATCTACTTATTTAAGTATTTATAAATTATATCTAAACAATTTATTAATATGTAAATGAGCTGTTAATAAACTATATTATTAGAAGTAGTATTAATTTTCTATTATTATTTTTATATGTTTAGAAAAAGGCTTTAGAAAGTATCAACACCAAGTTGGCTCTTGTCATGAAGTCTGGAAAATGTGTTCTTGGCTTGAAGCAGTCTTTGAAAACTTTAAGACAAGGAAAATCTAAGCTGGTCATCATTGCCAACAATACATCTCCATTAAGGTGAGACTGAGAAGTAGGAAACCCCGTTTCTTATGGTATTAAATATTAAATTTCCGACTGGGGTTTACCTATGGAGTAGTCTCAATGTAGACCAAGATTTTCAAACATTTAAATATCTTGTTCTTCTTTCTAATGATTTGGTATATTGACTAGTTAAGTAATATGGGTGGTTGAAACCTAAGATTTAGGTAAACCAGGTAAAATCAATCACCTATATGACAATTGTTGTTCACTTTAGAATATATTAATTATATTATTATTTTTCAGAGTATCTGAGATTGAATACTACGCAATGTTATCCAAGACTGACGTTTTCCAATATTCTGGTAACAACATTGAATTAGGTACAGCCTGTGGTAAATATTTCAGGGTTGCGACTTTGTCTATCACCGACCCAGGTGATTCAGATATTATCAAAACCATACCTACTGACCAATCAAACCAATAATGATTGTGTATTTTGATTTTTAATAAATATTTTCTCATGACGTGAATATATATTTTTTTTTTTTTTACACACATTAAACTGTCGCGTCCTGCGTATTTAATTTAAATTTAATCGCATTGGGAAGAACCATTGTAGATATTTCCACACCAGTACCTAGTCGTAGACAGAGATATTCGAAGCTGTTTATAATGTAATAGGATCACCATTACCAAGATAAAATATATAATAATAAAATAAAATATAAAAAATAATAAAATCATTAATTTTAGTAATCAGGGTTATAAAAAAGAGAGAAAATTTATAATTGATAATTAATATTATTGTAATATTCAGTTCCCAAATAAGTTCGTAATTATTGATTTTGAACTTGTCGACATTAATAAGATGGACTTACTACTTGTATTGGGGTCAATGTGATATAGTCTAGACAAATATAGACCAGTTAAGATGCAAGGGAGACCAATTATATTAACAGGAGACAATAAGGTGAGGATGTTCAACAAGAACTTGAACACTTTAAAACCATATTTGAGAGGAATTTTCCGAAAGAAACAGGACGTGTTGAAACCTTTATTGGGGCAGATTGATATTAGTATCAGTCACCCGGGGGAAATAAGTTTCGGATCGGCGTTCATCTCAAAATACTTGTTTTTCGATAATACTCAACCATTAATTGTCACCTGGAGTGGAACAATGGATGTTATAATATTTAAAAAGCTTGGAATACCAGGGATTAAGAAATTTTTAAATATAAGCACTTATGATGATAATAATGACAATATTTTTAGTTTAAAATTAATAGATACAAACAACAACAAATTGTTATATTCAGAGAGTATAGGGTATGTGCTTAAAAATGGGAGGATGTTGAATTTAAAAGAGACCCACGACATTTTGTGTGAAAAGAAACATGAAGTGACGTATTATCACGACCCAGTAACAGATATTATATATACAAAATGTATTTTTAATTATTTAATAAAAAAGATAAAACCAAATAAGTTATTTAAAATTGTTAACAAAAATAAAATGTGTAAACAAAGAGATAATAATAATACATAAATTAATTCATAAAAAAAAAATTAAATACATAAATATTGATAATTAAGTATACTCTATAACCTACTTATTACTTTTAACATGGAAGCTTATTACAGAGAGGGTAGGAAGGAAGTAGGAACAGCAACCATAATCCATTATCAAATACCTCCGAAATTATATCATTTGATAATACTAACGAAATTAAGGAAAAGTTGATAAGTGAGGCGCGGATAAAAATTAGACGGTTTAGGGATTCATATTCAAGCGATATGGATGCCGAACGAAAGGAATTGGAAGAGGAATGGTAGAGTATATATTTAATATTAAATTATAAAAATTTTAAAAAAAAAGAATGAGTAAAAATCAAATAAAAAAAAAAATTATCAAATATAATGCACCTATTGAATATATTATGTAATTGCACTAAATAATACTAACCAATATATGTATATATGTATCTAAAAAAAAAATTTTTTTGATAAAAAAAAATGTGACACTAACCTATTTTAAACTAACACTAAATTAATTAATCACATTTTATTGTAATATTTCCCATTATGGAAATAATTATTGTAATATTTCTTTTACGGAAATAATAATATTGTAAACATATTAACCACATTTTATTGTAACCATTATGTAATCATAAAAACATTTTATCACATAATTATCTATTATTTGTAATATTATTATTTTGTAAAATTTTAAATCCATTTAAGCCCACTGTTAAATTGTAAACCTGTAATAATGTCTTTGTATTGTAAACAATTCTGTTAACATTGTAAAACTAAATTGTAAAGAATTGATTTCTGTTTTACAAACATAAATCAATTTTTAGGTGGGGAGGCGTCCTGCGTAGTCACATAATTAAATACATCACAAGGAGGTTCTTAAGTTTCCCTTCTGTGTCCTATTCATCTTCGAGATTAGTATTAATTTAAGCATATTCCACCAGTGTGTTTCATTGGCGTGGTTACGGGAGTGGGCGCTGCCCCTTCCCCAGCGGAATGTGCCACCAACGAAAATTCATGCGATCTGTACTCATTACCTACCGACAGTTTCAGTATAGAATAGTACAATGTACGTGTTTTTATTTGAGTTTTAAATGTATTTTTATTGTTCATATCTATAAAAATAGGCCTCATGTTTTAAAAATTTGTGCCCCCTCAGCCACCAGAGCCTGAACACTAGTAAACCGACCTATATCATATGAGTTATCTACACATGTTCTAATAGACATGACCTATTCTTAGGTGTCCTTAGCAACTATTATTTGGCAGTCTAAAACTATTAGGTTAGGTTAACCATCCGTATCCTAGTCTCGTATGCATGTGTAAGGAGGGTAAAACAGCGTTCACTGTTTCATGTAAATACGACTACTGTTAGTCTTAATAGTTTTAGAAGAGACTAAGTTACCTGAAGTCGGCCTCTAATACTAACTGGTCGTGAAGCACGCGCGCCACACATCGTCGCCAGCTCTAGTGTTCAAACACTTCTCGGGCAGACTTTTATGTTCTTTCCTCAAATTTACTTAATCATTTTTTATACTGATGTTTATATTTTATGTGTTATAATAAATATTACTTTTAAACTAACTTTTTATTGACTTTGTGAGTCCAACATATTTACGGTTCAGAACCTGACCCCTGTTCTGTTCACTACAATACGCCAATGGTGTGTTTTTTTTTTAAATTTTAACTAAAAGTTGGAATTTATGCTCAAATATATGAACTATAAACTTCTACGGAAAGAAAATTGGAATTTATTGTATTCAATTAAATAATAGTTGCGAGTTGATTACACATATTTTCATTATTTAATCACATTTGAAATAAATATTTAAACTAAAATTAAAATATTTTTTTGAATGGAACAAATAGTTCTATGAAATTGAATACTTGATCCTATAAATCCGTCACTTGTAGTTAGCCCACATACAGCTCCAGATGTTTCTGTCGCACTTTAGACCTCTAATAGTCTTACAAAAAACAAAGTTAATGTTATAAGAATGAACAAATACGTTATATTTTACAATATCAATATTTTTTTTATGTAGTTGGGGGTTTAGTAACTATTTTTTTCCAATTAATTTGAAGTAGTCATTAACATAAAATTTAACGGTGAAATTTAAAAAAAAAAAAAAAACCAACAGTGATTTCCTTAGTTTTTCGCGCTTTAATAGTTTTTCATATAGTTATTTTTCTGATGTCTGCGATTATCGAATAACATATAAAAGTGTATTTCGAACAATACAACATACGGGTTTCAAGTTCAATAATTTTTTTTGGGTTACCAAAAATATACCGTAAAAATGATATGGTCTTCCAAAAGTGTTTTGATTCAGTTGTACAAAATTGATTAATTTTTATTAAAACTACATGGAAACATTAATTTTTAATATAATCTCGGCTAAAATTTTTAAATTATGTGTTTGAAATTGCTAATTTATAAACGTTAAATGCGATTAGCAGTGATAATCTATATAGAGCCGGCTGGCTATACATTTTTTGTAGTTGGCGGGTTAATTTACAATTGTAAAAACACAGGACCGCCAAAAAGAAATATTGTCCACTAAAAGATGCAGTCAATAATCGCCGCCTAATAATATCAACCATTATCTCCCACTACAAGAAATCGGATTCGCTATGGTTGCTATAAAAACAATACTTACATATGTATATAGTGAATTTAATTCAATCATGGTTTTAAACGATACTCATTGCACGTATATCCATGGACATTATTTCACCTTTGAAAGGGTGGGGCAACTGTTTAAATTTGCCGACTTCATAATATTTAAAAAATTATGATTACCTATATATTTTAATTTTTATGAACCATAAAATATTTTTTCGGAAGGATTAGTAATGAATAATGTCATGATGATAAACAAAGAACATGAAACGTTTCAATTTACCCAATTAAATATTAACATTAAAGATAGTAAAACATGAATTAATTTATTATTCTATAGGCTGTAAGTTACCTATCAATACGTTTAATGGGATAATAATATAAATCTAATGAAATACATATATATAATTTTATTATTTGTATTTTTAATACTTTACAGAACTTATTTTTAAAAAAAAAAATTGTATCTCAAATATAAAACACCGTAGTTTGAGGTGTATGTGAACGATTTTACCTTTTTATTTTATATATTATGAGCTCATTTTTTATGGTATCGATATAAAAAAAACTGTTTTATAAAGATCATATATTTAGAAATATATACCAAAAATAAAATATATAAGGTCCGCTTAATAACGATTGTCATAAACCCGGGGGGGGGAGTGTTTCCCAACTTTTAATAAACCGAGAATGTGTATTTAAAAGAGAATATTACCTGATTTCTGAGTACAAAATAGTAAATTAGCCCCCCTAATATTTGAATAGCTTCCCCCAAAATCGAAACTTTGTTAGAAATGTTATTCGTTGTTTTTATAATTATCTGTTGGTTTTTTTGAAAATCGTAAAATAAAAAATAATAAAAAACTACAATAGCACTAACAATACCAATTAGTTCGGTTACTTGTGAAAGAATTTTCAATGCAATGAAAAAAAATAAAAATTTGGCTAAAGTTCAGTGAAAAATATAAAAAACTATGATATTTTGAATATTTTTGCTGATACGACTAGATATTTGTTATTAAAATAAAATATTAATTATTTTTAAATATACTTTTTTTAGTGTTTTTTTTTTTAATACAATTTAAACATATCTATTTTTTTAATAGTAATAAGTTTTACTTGTGCATGAGAAGAGGGTGTAGGGCGAAGCCCCTGCGGGTTATTTTACATTGAATTATTATAGCCCCCCCAACATTAAACAAAATGTATGTCTATGATTCCATTGCAAGTTTATCATTTTTTTTTTCAGATTGTATGTTCTGTTCTCTGAGCTGCTTCATTTTATTTAAAATTCTTATTACTGTGGTATTAAAATTTATCAAATTTATCACTCATAAATTGAAGCAATGATGCCAGCGATTCTATGTTGTTTTTATCTTTATTAGTTAGGTGATTCAGACTATTTAGATTTGCAATTTTTACAGGTCCATTTTTTTTCTTTGTATTCTTGGTCATTTTCGTCTAACATTATATAACCTGTTAATTTAGTCCTAGACAATAATAATATCCTACTATATTACATTCTGAATATATTAGTTTATCATCTGACATGATGAAAATTGTATAAAATTTATTTTAACTTAATAAAATATACTGGAATTAATATAACACATTAGAACTTTGTACTGCATAATACATTATACGGCATACTCAATAACAAAAAACAACCAATCGCGCTAACTCACCTTGAAGAACCAATATGTTAATTATATAATTTTGACATAAACCTTAACTTGAAAAACTTCACGAAGAATAAAATTGTCGGTTGTATAATAAATATAGTTAGGTTCTTGTATTTTATCAATTATTTATCAAAAGGCTATCTCAACTTAATAATTATTATTTAAAAGTAATCTATAATCAATTGCTATTTAACATTTTCAATAATTGGGTTTTCTAACTTATAACTTTCACTTTAACAATGTACTTACTACTACTGTTTTTTAATTTAAGTTATTTTATAATAATTTAAGGGACATATTGTACATTATTATTATTATAAGGGAGCCAGCAATAAAGAAGACAATAGAGAATATGAGAATTGATAGAAAGGGATTAACAGTTAAGATTTCTATTATCAGATAAGAATTGTACGCTAATCAAGGTATTGAAGATGATTGAATAAATATTAATTGTAGAAGAAATGGGAGGGCCAACAAAAAAGAGGCGGTGGATTTTGAACTATTCTTATGATTGAGGATGAACTAGGAGGAAGAATTAAGAGAAAGTGAGAAGGGAGAAGACAATGGCTATAGAATGTGTGCTATTGAATACGATAATCCAGTAACTAATTTATTATACAACCAATAACTAGAAAATCGGATTGCTAATTTTGTCACAAATCTCCATTAACTAACTTGTTTTTATAATTATTGTCAATTCATATTTAACTTTTTAAAAGGTTAAGTAGACTAATATTAGTAATAGTATAATGCACCATACATGTCATTAGTTTTGATTTCTTTTAGAACTTCTTAAGTTAAGATTTTACAAATGTATGAAAAATAGTGAACATATATTATTTTATACATATATTAGTAAGTATAAATGTGTATACATAAGTAAATAAAGCAATAAAAAAAAAAAATGGTAATTTATGGTAAATAGTTTTATATTTAATTAATCAATATAGAATAGCATTATAATTCAACGGGGGGGAGATAGTTATTCAAATAAAAAGATAAGGACAAAACAATAAATAACAAGAATCAACAGAAACCACCAAAACTAAACATCCCCTAAGAATAACAACAAAGATAATTCATATTTACTTAATAAATAAAATAGTTATTTAATGGCAGAATGAATTGTATCTTTTGCTGCATTCATTATATCAAGAGCACCTTGATTAATTAAATTTTCTGCCAACTCAGTACCCAATTTTAAAGCTATGTCCAGATCTAAATAACTAATTTTTCCTGGTGTAACGCCTACAAATTGCCTGGGTTGTTTGTAAGGACATTTCTTAGGTGGTTCACCATCTTCACCTCTATATTGATCAATATGACTCTGTATAACTTTTTTATCAGCCAACTCTGCAGAAGATGAATATTTCAATTCTTCTGAACCATCAAGACTCCAAACAGCACCATCCAAAAATATTGCATTTTTTCTCAAACACACAGTAGATCTTATACCAACTGGAGCACTGCACCCTCCGCCTAAACGTGTAAGAAACCCTCTTTCAGCAACAACCTAAGGACAAACAAAAAAATGTTAAAATTATAACAATTTGTTAATAAATGAGTCATTAAGACAGTAAAACTATTTGTTATCTTTTTCTTTTTAAGAACAAACTATGGTTTAGAGTAAACAATTTTTTTAAATATAATTTAAACAATTTAGTTATCACATTGACCATTCACAATCGCATATCATGCAAGCATTAAACATTATCAATAAAACAGTAGTTGTAATGCCAGCTGTCCTGAAAATACCATAGATTATAACTAGGGCCCGGAATTGCTTGTATGTGCATATTTTTATATATTAAACTAAAAAGTAGCTAGGTAATAAATTAAAATTAAGAATTTAGAGTGCCTCAAATTCATATTAATAACAATTTAATTAATATATTTATGTACAAAGAATGTTTTTAGGTTTTTTAAGTTAAAAAGATAAAATTAAATTTTTTACCTGTAGGACTGTTTCATAGTGATGTAATGGCTCAAGCATTTCAAGAATAAATTCATCTCCGATACGACATTCAACTGCTAAAGCTCCTTGGCCCACAGCATAAAGCATAACATCTGAGTCAATTATTTGCGATACTCGTTTTTCCCATCCCATTCTTCGAATACCAGCCAAGGCTAAAATTATACCACTATAATTCGTATTTGAATTTTTTCCAATAGTTTGACTATCATCGTCTAATTTTTTTAATCTTGTATTTAAATTTCCACGCACATCAGATACTTGAATATTAGAAAATTTCCTTTTTAATTGAGCTGTTCGTCGTAAAGAACTAGTTCCTACAAACAAAATACAAAATATATCCTTCAGAAAAATGTGTAAATACTGTACAGTGAATAAGATGAGAAATATTAAATATCATAAATATATTAGTAATATAATAATTACATTTTATACGACTTTTCTTAATTAAATAATTTAAATGCTATTAAGTTGTATAAATAGTGAGTTTATTTAAACTTAATATTACATAATCAGATTTTAATATATTTCATATTTATAATTTCTTATATTGAATTTTAAGGATGACCTTCATTCAGTGGCGTATACTGATAATATTTTCAAGAGGGGCTACTATAGACAGAGTTAAATTACCACTGCTATCTAAGAATTACTAACAAGACACAGTAGGTACTTATCTACATTTCATTAACAGAATGTCTCAATTTGATGATGGACACAAATTCTAAATCAGCATAAAGCATCATTAAAATATAATAAACGTTTAAAATAATTTTATAGTTTTTTTAAAAAATTTCAGAGGGGGCTGTAGCCCACTAGCCCCCCCCCCCCCCTATATATGTCACTGCTTTTAAATTATTTCGAATTATTTCTTGAAAACTATATAAATAATATTAATAGTATATTACCACATAACTTATAATGGTAATATTTTAATACTTTCAAACTTCAATCGAAATATTGTAATATGTTTTGTAAATACAATAACAAAATCTAAGGAATTAGTTCAACTGTAAATACAGATGGTGCAAATACTAATGTGTCACAAATGTGTCTCTTAATGCCCCTAGTGCCTCTCTTTCAGTACTTAAATTTATGTTTAATGGTACATTATACAATGATATATTTTAATTACATTTAAAATGCAAATACTAGAAGCTATAACAATACATGGCTGTATTAATGGAGAAACATTTATATTACAAATATTGACCTTCCTCAAAAAATATTAATATCATTAACAACATGATATTTTACTATTTGCAGAAATTTTTTTTAGTATATTTTTTTACGAAAAATCTATTAAATTCTTAGCGTGCAATATATACTGTAAGTAGGAGTATAGACAAAAATATGTTGTTTTAAGTATTATGCATTTTAATTATTCTTAATCTAATTTTTAATTATCCAATATGCAAATCTAAATCTAAAATATATTATAAAATCAGACATAATATTAGTTGATCAAAGTATTATTATATATATATATTTTAGTATCATCTATACAAAATTATATTATTATATAGTTAATTCAATATACTTAAAAATTATTTGAACAATTTAAGTTAATTAATTTAGCAGATAAATAAACACTTGAGTATCACAAGATAAATAAAACAATACAAGTATTAAGATGATAATACTCTTACTAGTATTTGGACATTACATTAAAATAAAATATATTATACCTAGGTTGATATAACTTGGTATAAATTATATACTATAGTAAGATTTAAAATTAATTACAGAGAAATTAATTAAATTAGATGTTTAGTCAATAGATCGGTTATCATCATAAATCACCTTTTATATTAAAAGTGTATCATGTATATTTGAAAAATTATTAAAAGCATCCCAGATAATCAGCACTTAGTACTTACCATTAACTAATTATTCAAATAATTGTCCAGCTATTAAGATTAAAATATGAAAATGTTAAGTAATTTATAGTACATTTTAATAAGATTACTAATACTTTAGAAAAAATAACATCATACGTGAAAAATATAATAGGAAGTGTTTATATATTTTATATTTATTTTTATATTTTATATTCTATATTTTTCTCCTTTCATTTCTTTTATGTTCTGTAACTAAAAATGAAAGTTATTAACTTAATAACAAATTCAACTATAAGAAAGGATAAGACTGGTAAGGAGAATAATTGTTTAAAACAGATGAAGGTGAAGGAAAATTAAAAGTGAATGTTAATTTCTTTCCCCCTCTACAATCAGAATTATATTAATAGTTCAATATTTAAAAGTAATTTGTTATTCAAAAATAAAAATAAATGCAAATTTATGAATTATTCTATACATTTTTATTTGTTTTTATTATTTAGTATTATATAGATAAAAAATGCATACCTGCTTATGTAAATACAAAATAGTTTGAATAAGTTAAGCAGTTTTTTTAAAAAATTCTTATAGTACAAAATCAAACTTAGATTAAACATGTATAATTTAGGTTATTACCTAAAATAAAAAAGGATATTTATCCTTACTTATTTCTAATTTTTTTTATTTGAAATAAAGCTATAAATATTTAAACTATAGTTTTTAGTTTTAATTTATAGTTCTGTAAGAATATTATATTAATATTACTATTTACATATTATTACAATTGAATTTCATAACTACATGTAATAAAGTAAATACATTTATTGTAAATGACCTTTTTCTACATGGTAAATTAAAAAACTGTTACATTTTTTGAGTTTATTATTATCAAATATTGGTATAATAACTAAGATATGCAATGTTCGTACTTTTTTGTTATTTCATTATAGTAAAAGCAATGAAATTCTGATTTAAAATTGCATTTCTTATAGATATATAACTATTGTCTATTCATTGTTAGTCAATTGGTCAATTATATTAATAAATCACATTAATTAAGATTATTAAATTAAATATAAAAATAATATCATGCTAACCTATGATCTAGTAACTTAAACATTTAAATAATATCATAATACCATAATCAATTATACAAGAACAAGTAATAAAATAAATAATTATATCATTGTTAAAAACCTATGGATGAAATAAATTATACATCTATTAAAGTACCTAATTCTAAAATCTAAAATATGACAGATGTACATAATTTTAAATTTTTTCTGCACATTACTACCAAAATTGTAATGAAACTAAAATGCATGCTCTGTTTATAATTGTTTCATATGATTTCTATTTATCATTTTTTATAGATAATTGTAAGCAGTTAATAAGTATTGAATATATTTATACTTCGCTAATAAGAGTAATTTATTAACAATTTAGTTTAATAGTTATTTAATAACTCACCAATCAAACTCTTAGAAGGTAATGAATCCAGTTGAAATTGTTTACAATCGTCTCGAAGTACAAGTGCATCTCTAGGATCATCTCGTTTAAGAATTGCTCCAATGGTTGTTCCAATTTCCATCACAGTAGGTAAGTCTTTCAATGAATGCACAACAAAGTCGACAGTACCACTCAATAATGCAACTTCAAGATCCTTGGTGAATAAACTTTTTTCTCCAATTTTTGGTAAAGGTTTGTCCAGCACTCTGTCACCCATAGTAGTCATGGAAACTATTTCAAATTCTATTTCCGGATTTAATTCTTTTAACTGGTTAATAACAAATTTGGTCTGAATTAATGCTAGTTCACTTTTACGTGAACCAACACGAATAACTGTTTTACAGGTTCCTTGGTCCATGATCAAATAATGTTAAAAACTATAATAAAGGTGATAAATTATTGACACTGCAATAGATTTATCATTAAAAAGAAATACTGATTGTTGATGACAATTATGTACTAGATCATGGTTCCTGAAATAATAATTATAATATTGGTCAAAAAATTTACATACAATAATATCTACTTTACTCACTAGTAGATTGTTTTAATGACATTCGAATTGTGAACGGCACAACTGAGGCCACATTACGTAATGGAAATGTTAAATAGTAATTTATATCATTGTAATTTTAGTTTTTAGAAAGGAATAATCGAAAGGGGGAACTTTTGAAAGGTGATTACTTATCAATGCCATTTCCCTCAGTGTTCCAACAGTAGTGATTTCGACTACCTCTTGCCCGTTGGTCACATTGTGCCCACATATGTTACCGTGGTTTAGTCATGTGATCAATATTTTGGAAAGTGTAAAACAATAACATAAGTCGCCAAAAAAAAAAAAAAAAAACAAATTTGCTTGGTACATATTTCTTCTTGCATCATGAGTTAAACAATTATATGAATGTATCCCGAAACGAATTTAATTTGCCAAAATTATATCTAGTTACCGCTGTTGATGCGGTGCATCAAGTGATATTTACATTTTTTTAATATCTGAGGTTGCAAACAGAGTGCAATCAAAATGCCGTCAGAATCTAAGATTCCTGCCCAAATGGAAAAACCAAATCATTATTCGTAAGACTTGATTTTGTGCATTATCTGTATTATTTTTCATTTTCGCCGATTATTGATTACCGTCATATACATGGCAATTTTCGTTAAACAATGTTGATGGATATCTGTTGAAATTATTGTATTATTACAGATATTTAAAAGAATTCCGTGTTGAACAGTGCCCATTGTTTTTACAACATAAATGTACACAACATAGACCATACACATGTTTTAATTGGCATTTTATGAATCAGCGACGCCGCAGGCCAGTTAGAAAAAGAGACGGCACATTTAATTATAGTGCAGATGATTATTGTACACAATATGATGAGACCACTGGGGTCTGTACTAAGGGAGATGAGTAAGTAGTTATACTAAGACTTTTAAATTAATTTTATCTTTTCAGTTAAATAAGTTTTATAACTGTGTAGGTATCTGATAGCATTTAATAAAGATAATGAAATATTTTTAAACCATGAAACCAATTAGTTCATAAATATTTATGGTTTTTGAAATAATTAAAATCCTGGAAGTTAAATCCTTAAATTTATGAAGTTACTTGTGTTTTAACATTTATATTTTATAGTTTATTTTGATAGATATTGCTATATTGCATTTTACCCTTTCTAATGATAATACCAATTAAAAGAAGATTAAATTATTCTTAATAATTATATATATATATTTATAAAGTCTATAAATTATTTTTATTTATGTACTTAAAAATAAAATTGATTTATCCTATGGAATACATAACTTTAATGTGATTAAAACCTAGGTTTTTGTATCCATTACTAGCCCATCAAACATTTGCAACACTAATTATTTTTTATCTTTAAAAATGTCTTAATTATTTAAAGTAATTAAACAACATTATGAAGTACAGTGTCCATTTAAGTTATATAGACATATTTTGTTAGTTTTTATTATATGTATAATTGTAAATATTAAATATATTTAATAAAATGTAACTTTTATTTATATTATTTGTATTATAGTTATTTATATACAGAGGGACTCATCATGTTTTACCAATTTTTTTATTGGTAGTTAGTATTGATATTTTTTTTTAGTTTTTAATTTTTTAATTGTATTTTTTGTTAGGGTTACATTTATATAACTACTATCTTTTTTAGTTTAATTACTTAAAAAATGACTTTCTAGTTCTTATTATACACATAATAATAATTAATATATATATTAATATAATATTAATATAGTCACATTGTAAAAGATATTATTCTAAAAACTTTAACATAAATATTTGATGAATATTTCCCTAATTATAGCCATTTTAATTTCTAAAGAAGAGATATGAAAATATTTTAGTTAATCATATTGGACTTTAACTATTCTAGTAATCTAAGGCCCAATGTAATAGCTATTTACAGATATTTACATATGTTACATAAAAATGTTTAGAATAATATACAATATGACAATTGAAATTTTTATAATGAAAACAACTGGAAAGTTATTTTTTGAAATGACTAAGGAGTGAACATTTTATAAATAGTTATGTGTTACCCTAACATAAAATACAATTGAAAAAAAAAATTCATTATTAACTGCTGATAAAGAAATCTGCAAAACATAGTGAGACACTCTATACTATAAAGATAAATTTTACAAATCTGGTAATTAACTTGAATAATTAATTTCTTTAAAATTTCTGAAGTATCAAACAATGATAATTTTTTTAATACTATCATGTTAATATATTAAGTACTAATTAACATTTTAAAAGTTAAGATTCTTTAAAGTGTATGTAGTTAGGTTAGGTTACATACAAATATATTTTGAAGGAGTTATTAATTTGAAAATAATCAATAATTGTTGTCCATAGAATATATTTATATGAAGTAGAAACACTTAAAATTCCCTGCCTTTTTAATTATTCCTAATAATTTAAATTATTTAGTATAAAAATGTTGTAGTGTTAAATTTGTTAAATCAGCTAAGCAAATTTTGATTTTGATTTATTTACTTTCCATTGTTTTAAAATATTTTATAAATTATTAAATTTGCTTTTTACCACCAAAAAACAACCATTAACTTTTCAAGACATTTTTTTGAAAATTGTTAGTAGCTTTTTAAAAAAATTATCAATTTTTTTATTGTAAATTAATTTATTCGTTTTCCTTGTATATTACACTAATTTTATATTTGAAATGAAAAAAAAAAGTATTTTTAAGTGTAAAATGTACTCATACTTTATCACATACATTTTAAACATCTTTAGTTAAAATTATTATTTTATCCTGCACTAAAAATAAAGTTAATTACATACCCCTTATATTAATTTTTTAAAATTCAATGATTTTTTTTATTGCTTTTAAATGTATTATGATAATAAACAATACTTGTTTTTGTTTACTGAAATCCATTATCCAATTAATTGTTAATTTTGTGTAGCTTAATTTATCTTTGGTTAATCCAAAATTATGACTTAATTAACATGTAAGATATGTCTATTATTTTCTATAATTTTGAATTGCTCTATTCAATTAAATTACTTATTTTTATTATTACAAATAAATATTTATTTAATTTTATATAAAAGGTGTCAATATTTACACCGAACTGCTGGTGATACAGAAAGACGTTACCATTTGCGGTATTATAAAACATGTATGTGTGTTCATGATACCGACAGTAGGGGATTTTGCACAAAAAATGGGCCACACTGTGCTTTTGCTCATGGAAATCATGATTTAAGACCTCCTGTATATGATATTAATGAGCAAAAGGTATTTGATTCTTTAAATTTCTTAGCATATTTATTATTAATACTTTAACTTGTATTAGGTAACTGAAAATGATGAAGATGAAAATATAGATTTAGATGGACCTAATGTATTAGATAAAGAAAAAAATTTAATGAATGAAGATCCTAAATGGCAGGGTAGGACTTGTTTATTATTTAACTATAACTATTTTGTGATTGATAAAATATTTTGTATAATTTATAGATACTAACTATGTTTTATCAAATTATAAAACTGATCAGTGTCAACGTCCTCCACGGCTTTGTCGACAAGGATATGCATGTCCTCAATATCATAATAGTAGAGATAAAAGAAGAAATCCAAGAAAATACAAGTATAGGTTGATCTTTATTTTTGTGATGAATTATAAATTATTTATAATAGTGAATCAATTTATATATATATATAAATATTTGATTATTGTTTTATTTCAGATCTACTCCTTGTCCTAGTGTAAAACATGGAGATGAATGGGGTGAACCAAGTAATTGTGAGAGTGGTGACTCATGTGCTTATTGCCATACTAGAACCGAACAACAATTTCATCCAGAAATTTATAAATCGACTAAATGTAATGATGTACAACAAGCTGGTTATTGTCCTAGGGGAGTTTTTTGTGCTTTTGCACATATTGACCGTAAGTATACATAACATCAATTATATATAATTTGTTTATTGAAATAATAAACTTTGTTATTCAGAGGAAATGATTATTGCACGTGAATCAGCTGCTGGATTAGATTCTTCAACAGATTTAGCAGATATATTATCTAATGCTTTGCCTTCTATAGGAAATGAATGCATAAGATCTCCGGTAAAAAAATTAGATAGTGACAAAAATAGTTCATCGGTTAGTAATTTTTAAATTTTTAAACACTCGCTCATAATTGAACGGTGTGTTTTGTTTACAGAATGGAAGTGGTGATCTTTCAGAATGTACTTCAAGTATTGGCTCTCCTAATAAAGCTCCTGGTGCTCATTTGTCTAGATCTGAATTTAATGTACAACAGTTTCAAATAGCCCATGAAGATACCATACAAGCTGTAACTTTTCAATTTAACTTTTTTTTAATGTTGAGTACTACATGTTTATTAAATTTTAGCTTTTAAATTCATTTGATTCTCAATCACTGTTACCTAATGTTGAACCTCAAAGAAGACATAGTTCTATATTTGGACCTGTTGTATCTAATGGTAATAGTAATTCATCATATATGAATCATTTTTCATCTTATCAGCCAACTACTAATATGAATGGTATTTTTAAACTTATTTAATCTTAGTGTGTATAATTAAAATTAATTTTGTATTATTAATTTCTTAGGCAATTTAGATGATTTAGTTATGGAAGATAATTTAAATTTTTCTGTTGATCAAGAAAATGAATCTCCAATATTAAATAATCCTTTATCATCAAGTTTACAAGCATCTGGTAAATATTATATTTAAATTATTTAGATATTTATTTACTATTTATATATAAATTTATGTGTGTTCAGTTAATGTTTATCTAAAGGATTACTCATAATATAGTTGTGTAAAAATCTTATATCTAATTGACCCAGGGCTATACAGTGGAATCTCAAATTGAAACTTCTATAAGTCAAATTTTTGATATCTCAAAGGAATACCTTAATCCCTGCATTTCAATGTATGATATGAATGACACATTTTTCCGTTAATTTGAATTTCTTAATGAGTCATATAAATTTAATTTTGGCTTTTAACTCAAGTTATTAGACATGCATTACCAAAAATTACTGAAATAATATTTTAAGTGTATGTATAAATAGAGTATGTTCATAAATAACTATACTAAGTGATAATAAATGTATCTA